ATCCAATAAGTCATTGACCATTATCGTTTGTTACTTCGTGTTTACTGTAGTTACCAGTTACTGCAGGGTACAGAGGTCCTTTTCCCACTTTAGCATTGCAATCACCCATTATTATTTTTACATCACGTTTAGGTAGGCTCTCGTATTCATCATTTAGCTGTTCATAGTAAAGATCTTTTATTTCGCCGTCTTTGTCATCTGACGGTGCATGAATATTGATTTCATACATATTTTTGTACAATCCTGTCCTTCTTTGACAGATCATCATTGATATAAACTAGACTTTTTGTTCGGTTCTCTTCACTAATGTCATCATTTCCATAATTTTTTGTACATTTTCTTCCATTTTCTCCTTTTTGTTGATGGGAGATCTCCCTATTTTGCGACTTTTGGTGAAAGCACGCTTTTAGCTGTTCTACTAATTCTTCAACTTCAGATGCATAGACCACTGCATCTTTATTTCCTTGTCTTTCTTCGCCAATTTAGCTATTACCGTCTTCGGATTGTCGTCTCTCAGTTCTTTCTTCAGTGCCGCTGCTATTCTTAGGATTGTATCCTCTGTAGTTATAAGGTTTCTGGCCTTATTGGTTAATCTTGTTTTGATTAATGTTATCGCTGTTTCCTCGTGCCCTATCGCTATTTTCTCAAGGAGTTCTAATGCATCAAAAATTTACTGCAGTTTACTTGCGCTTCCATCAAACTCACTGGGCAACACCTTGTGAGCGATATTAAAAAATTCGTTGATTGTAAGAGCCATACTTATTTCTTGCTGTGTCGCTTGTTTCGTCTTCTAAATCCTTGTCACTTTGTTCCTCATTTTAATTTTTGCAAAGTTTTGTTCGTAGTATTTTTGAGTGGTGTTAATAAGAATTGGGTATATTTTCAAGTTACCCATTTCTATCCATAGTTGGGAGATCGGTACACTGTCAAATGCTTTTTCCATATCTTTAAAGCTATATGGGTTTCTCTATTTCTTTGCACTCGATTTTCCATTGCAATTTTTAATGTGAAAATATTACCCATAGTGGAGAGTTCGGCCCTAAATCCCGCTTGTTCTTCGGGTTGTTTATCTTTAATATCATTTTCTTTTAATATCAGATTTATCATTTAATATCAGATTTCGTAGTACTTTTGAGTATAGTCGGCCTATAGTAGCAATCACTGCGATCCCTCTATAGTTTTTAGGTTCCGTCTTTGTGCCTCTCTTGTGTATTGGAGAGATATACGATTGTCTCCATTCTTGTGGATCTTCTTATCCGTTTAAGTATCTTTCGAATAATTTTCGAATCATTTCAAACAGTTTTGATGATCCATACCTAATCAACTCTGGATGTATTCCGCCTGGGCCTGGAGATTTTCTTAATTTCATTCCGTTAACTGCTTCTTTCACTTGTTCTATTGATATTTCTATTCTTCCTTCTACTTACACTTGTTCATTTGTCTGTTTAAACCTTTCTCTTCTCTCTGTTAATAAGTTCTCAAAATGTTCTACCCATATGTTCTCTGGTATTCTATTTAGTATGACTTGATTTTGTTCTCATCGTTTTTATAGTTTTCCATACATTTGTTAAATATTTCCTCGGAATAAATTTTGAATAGGAGTGGGGATAAGATATACCCCTGACGGATACCTCTTTTGATCTGCACACTTCCAGTGAGTTCGTTGCTAATTTTTGCTCTTGCTTTTTGACCCCAGTATAGGTTTGCCACAATTCGAATGTCCTTGTCGTCAATACCTGTCTTTCGCAGAATATCTATCAATTGTTCACGATTGATATTGTCAAATGCTTTTTTAAAATCCACAAAGCACAAATACACGTCCTTATCAACGTCTCTACACCGCTGTATAAGCACCTGGAGAGCGAAAACTGCTTCTCTAGTTCCAAGTGCTTTCCGAAAACCAAACTGCGATCTATCAATATTTGTGAACTATATCTTAGTGAACGCTTTAGTGACGTGATTGATCAAGCTTATAAGCCGGCAGTCATCACAGATCTGGGCATTTGGTTTCTTCGGGATTGTAATAAATGCTGACTGCAGCCAGTTCTCCGGGATTTTACCGCTATTATATATGTTGTTAAAAAGTACAACTAGATTATCAAGGAACTGTTTGTCTGATTTACATAGGATCTTTAATATTTCGCAGGGTCCATTGTCCGGACCTGCTGACTTATTGTTTTTTAGTGCTGCAATGGCATCTTCTATCTCCGATTTAAGGATTGAAGGTCCTGTTTCTCCTTCTCCATATAGGTGATCATCAGTCCTGTCAGATGCAAATAATTTTTCTATGTATGATTTTCATGTTTCTAAGATCGTTGATGGCTCCGAGATAAGATTTCCATCGCTATCTTTTATGCTGTTGGGTGACTTATTGAATTTCCTCTTGTTTGTCATTGATTTTATTTTTTTGTGCATATTGTAACTGTCGTCTTTCCGTTCGTATTGTTGTTTTTCCCTGCATTCATTGAAAAACCATTTTTCTTTGGCTTCTTAAACAAATTTTGTTTAATTTACTGTTTGTATTTTGAGAACGATTTCCGAAGTGGAAATTGAAACGTCAATAAACGTATTTTTATCTTTAATTGTGGCTTATTCCCAGTTAAATAGTAATTAAAAATAATCTTGTTATATTATTATACAAAACATATTATCTTGTAGGAATTTTAGAAATCTTGTCATTTTCATTAAGGAAATATATTTCCATAATATCACATCATCATCATCATCTTTGGCTCGACAATCCTCTGTGGATCTTGGCTTGCTCTAAGATTCGTCGCCATTCTGTTCGGTTTCTGGCAACATGTTGCCATCTTCTGATTTTTAATATCCGTAAGTCGGTTTCAACTCTATCTAACCACCTAATTCGAGGTCGGCCTTTGATTCTTCTTCCTACAGGTGTTCCTGTGGTTAGTTTTTTAGCAATTGTATTTTCTGGCATTTGTATTATGTGTCCAGCCCATCTAAGTCGCTGTGTTTTAATGAACGTTATGACATCTGGCTCATCATAGAGCTGATACAATTCAAAATGATATCTTCTGCGCCACTGCCCTTGGTGGTTTATAGCTCCAAATATTTTGCGGAGTATTTTACGCTCAAATATTCCCAAAAGTCTTTCATCTTTCTGCGTTAGAGTCCATGTTTCTGCTCCATATGTGAGGACCGGCCTCAGCAATGTTTTGTATATAATAATTTGAGTTCTTCTTTGAATGTTTCTTGAGTGGAAATGCTTTTGGAGTCCATAGTATGCCCTATTTGTAAGATTTATTCGTCTTTTGATTTCTTCGCTTGTTTTATTGGTAGCAGTCAATAGCGACCCAAGGTATATGAAGTTGTCAACACGTCCAAAGGTATGACTTCCAAAGACTGTTTCTCGTTCCTCATTTGCTATCGGATCCTTTGTAACCAACATGTACCTGGTTTTGTCTTCGTTGATGACTAGACCGACCTGTTTCGCCGCTGTTTCCAATTCTAGGAGATATTGCTCAACATCTCGCTTGCTACGCCCTATTATGTCAATGTCATCAGCATATGCTAAGACTTGTATCGATCTTGTAAATAGTACCGCCATCCCTAATTCGTGTATCTCGGACTGCCTTTTCTAAGGCAATATTAAATAGGAGGCAAGCCAGAGCATCCCCTTGTCTGAGTCCATCCTTTATCTCAAAGGATCTAGAATTCTCTTCCTGTATTCTTACAGTGGCTTCTAAGTTAGACATTGTCATTCTCGTTAATCGAGTAAGTTTCTATGGTATACCAAACTCATGCATTGATTGGTATAGCACTGTTCTCTTGACACTGTCGTATGCGGCCTTGAAGTCGACGAATAGGTGATGGGTCTCAATATTGAATTCTAATGTTTTCTCGAGAATCTGTCTTATTGAATGAATCTGGTCAATTGTTGATTTTTCTGGAATGAATCCAGCTTGATATTTACCAACTATGCCCACTATGTAAACTTGCAGCCTTTGCAAACATTTGCTAGTATTTTGTAAGCAGTTTTTAACAGGGTTATACCTCTATAGTTGTCACACTGGAGCTGGTCACCTTTTTTATGTAACGGGCATATCACGCCTTGAAACCATTCACAAGACATGGTCTCATTATGCCAAACAAGAAGTAAAAGCTTATGCAGTGTCTAATATCACATTAATTGATACATTTATTGCATATTGTTATGGTTTATATTTTTGGTTAGTTAGTTATTGAATAAAAATAATTTTGTTATATTATTCTCAATACTCGATACTTATTTCTACTTACAAAAATTGAAATAATTCCCTAAATTTAAAAAAAACTAAAAATATCTCGAAAAAGAATGAGTTTAGGTAAAGGAAATGCTATATAAAAATAAGAGAATATCATAAATACCTACAATATATTTAAAAAATAACGATAAAGAAAACAATAATTATGAGAGGAATATTAATATGAAAAAATATATAGGGTGTCCCATTTAAAAAACTGTATGTTTTCTATAGCAGATAGTTATTAATCACCCTGTAGAATTCCACATATTTTCCAATTATGAATCAACTACACATGGCCATTAACAATACGATTTAAAAATAATGTGAGTTATATAGATTGCTTCAAAAAGAAGTTGTATATAAAAGTTTTATTTTTTTGTTATGGAATACCCTAGATTTGATCAAATTTTTGAATTGTCCGTAAAAAATAAGCTATATTTTTATAATAGACTATAAGCGATACTTTTAAAATACAGGGTGTTTGGATTCATTTCGATTTTTATGCGTGTAAACACCCATCCATCTGGATGGAGCTGAGACGACTCAGGGAAAAAAAATTTGTTCTTTTTTTGGTCGATGGAATCGCTCTTGTAGTGGTGTTTTTTAAAATTTGACCATCGCTTTGAAGATGGCTTTGTAAGCCGAAAGCGCTCATCTAGCGATTAAATGCTTTACACACTCTTAAAGTAGTTTTCTTTTCAATTCAAACAGGTTATTGTTTAGATATATCTAGTTTTTTATTTATTTTTTTAGTGATGTATCTCCGGCAACCGCCGTGACGCAAGGCTCTCCAATAAGGTGCGTGTCGAGAAGAAATAACATGGAGAGCCCCCAGAAGTCTCCTCAAAATAGTCCAGCTACGGGTGAACGGGCCACCGTTAAGGTAAGACATTGCATAGACTATTTGGTATACAGAGTGGAATATTTATGTTTGGTAATGCTCATTAGATTGTGTCACATTGCTAAAATAGCCTGTTTCATTCCAAAGGGAACCAATTTTAACGATCTGTCATTTGTCAAAGTCCGTAGCTCCTTAATAATATTAAATAGGAAATATATCATCATTGAAGCGTTTTGATCAAACATCCATTTTTTGAAAAAGAAGTTATTAAAAGTACGTATTAATTTATTTAAATCGTTACATCTTAAAAACTAAACCTGAGTACCCCAGTCAAGGAAGAGAAAAATCTGAAAAAATCTTATACAGATGTTAAAAGTCTTGAATTTTGAGAGCTTTCAAATTAAAATACATAAACAATTGATCGAGATAATTGCATAAAACCCGTATTTTTGCAGTAATTTATAAACGTTAATAACTTTTGTTTTTTGCTTAACAAAACTACTCAAAATTGTGGCAGTTAATCAATTATTATAATGTACTAAATTTCAAACAGATCGACCAAATAGTTTTTAAGTTATTCAGTGTTTATCCCGGACAGCGATTATTTAAACAACTGCAATTGCCCAGACAGTTACTGTAGAGGTAAATTTGTAAATCGCAATCGATTCTTTGAAGAGTTATTTTTAAGGTATATTAAAAAAACTTCAAACATTATATCAGATTTGTTATTACAAAAACAGTTTGAAAATGAGCTAACTTTTTATAAACATATAATAACTTTGATATTTTTTATGTCACAAGGTTGTAAGTAGGCTCAATGAAAAAGTGGTGAAAAAATACACTTTCCAAAAAAAAACAGAATTTTAGTGGACAGTTCTCCCACAAATATTTCTAGAGGCACTGGAAAAGTACAACGAGGGCATCACGATTAATTGCGTACCAATAAGTAATTTTCGATATGCAGATGATGTTAAATTGCAGTTAAATAGTAATTAATTTAAAATGCCACAAGAAAATAGCTTCAGAACAATATTAAGAAACCGTTATGGGGTCAGCGTTATTCAAAATTTTCGGAGATTGGAAATTCTATACAAGAAACTGGCACATTGTCAAAATTCAATTAAATTTTTACGAAGATGTATGAGAACGATTTCCGAAGTGGAAATTGAAACGTCAATAAACGTATTTTTATCTTTAATTGTGGCTTATTCCCAGTTAAATAGTAATTAATTTAAAATGCCACAAGAAAATAGCTTCAAAACAATAATTTTCTAAAGGTGTAATATAAAATAAACCACTCGGTACTTTTGCCTTTACGTCATTGACGTCATAGTTAAAACGGTAGTTATTTATCTGAAGAGTGATCAAATATTTTTGAACTGTTTCTCTCTATCGTATCATATTCGTATACACTTCATCTAATTTATATAACGATGCACGTCATCGGCGTCATAGCCTGTGACGTCACATGATACCAACACAAAATATTTAGGGTGTAGGTGTGTTCTTTTTTAGAATCACTTTACCGAGTACACTGGCATTACAGCCACTAGACATATTTTATTATATACGCGTAGAAATAATATTTAAAAATTTCTATTAATGTTAACTTAAAGAAATACACAATAATATGTTTCATTTAATTTCTATAATTGCATTATAAAGCGTTTTTATCAAGAACATTTTTGTTCGGAACACACTGTAACTGTAATCGAACGAAGGTAAAATTTTGGCATAAATTGGTAACACTTATTTGACAGTTGCGGTGTTGACACTTTTTGTACTTCATTATTTTGAATTTTAAATTGAATATTTCTTGTTTTATATTTTTAACTATTTACTAAAATCTGTTCTTTTTAGAACAAAATTAGTGTGTTTTATTTCAAAAATGTCACGTAAGAATTTAAATAGTCGTTGTAAAGAGATGGTAATACTTTTGCGATAATTATGTAATCTATTTGATTGAAAATGGAGTCAGGATTTTTTTATACTTTGGCAACTATGTCAACTTCGATCTCTGATGTAGATAATGACGTAAGTCGTTATCTAAATTAGATGAAATATAGTTTAAAGGAGCCAATAATGAAGGTTGTAATAAAATGTTTAGGAATTTACGCACTCGGTTTCGATGATTTTTTTACAAGTTAATATTTCTAGGTACACTTACCAAACGGTGGCTTCAATGTCGTCAGATACGGCGATTCGGTGGAAATTAAAGCTATCATTCAGACGGTTACCGAGAGATTATCCACAGGGGAGAGATATTACAATGGACTTTATGCTATGAGATTATCCAGGTCGAATACAGAAGTAAGCATGATATAAAATTCGTATGATTCAACATTTACTGTATCTTATCCTAATAGGGAATTTTTTTAGATGTACTGGTTACATCAGGACATTACAATGCAGCAGGTTTATGAAAAGTATCTTAAAAAACATCCAAACGCAGATTGGAGGTATGAGTTAAGAATCAGATATTTACCGGTCACTCTAAAAGAACTTTTCGATAAAGACAATGTGACATTTCATTATTATTACGATCAGGTAAGTGCAGAAATAATTAGTTTATAGGAAAACCTTTATTTTTTCTTTTAAAAATTGATTCGTCTTGGAAAATTGTGTTAGTAATAATGTTGTTTATAATAAGTTTGTTATCATTGTTTTTAATAGTGTTCCGTTTTTTCGTAAATTATAATTTTTTAGATAAGAACTGATTACCATACCGAGTTCCATAAAAAGATCGATCAGGACACAGCCATTCAACTCTGCTGTCTAGAAATACGAAAGTATTTTAAAGAACTGCCTCCGAACGGTTTGGACAAAAAGTCCAATTTCGAATACTTAGAAAGAGAAATCGGCATGCAAAAGTTCATTCCCAACAGCATCCTCGAACAGCTAAAACCTAAATCCCTGCGGAAAAACATTCAGATGCAGTTTAAGAAAATCGCTCATCTTTCCGAAGCGGATGCGATGTTCAAATATTTGGAAATCTTGAAGTACCACACCAATTTCGATCAGGAGCGGTTCAGGGTCGATTTCGGAGGCAGTTTCACGGTGCCCGTGGAATTGGTCATCGGTCCGGATATCGGTATTTCTCACACCAACGTGCAAGCCTCCACCACCAAGAACATCGCCGATTTCAAGCAAATTCAAGCCATTCAAACTTTGGTTAGTGATTGTGAAGAACACCCTAAGGCGACTTTGCAACTTAAGGTCGGCGGTACTTTGGAGGTGCTGTTTTTTACCTGTGCTAATATTGATATCGCAGAGAGTTTGGCTGATCTGATAGATGGCTATTGTAGGATTCATCATAACTCCCAGATATCCGTTTGGAATAATAAAGGTAGGATACCAAAACATGATATTTTTATTATTTTTAATGTTGCAAGTTATATGTTCTGAAATATTTCCGCGGTTAGTACAAAGCTAAGATTAATACTATTACAAATATTAATATTAAACGCAACAGGCTTCCGGATTGAACCACGCCAGTTCATTTATTCCATTGATGTTGAAGTGCTTTAGGTGGTTGGCGTGAGGGTTGGCGCGAGGGTTGGCGCGAACATTTCTGACGGCGAGATTTTAAATGGAGGGAGGAGCGGAAGATATTTTCTTTATGAGAGGTCTCCATGTTCTGGTGTTTTCAAAATCAATTTTGTGATCTGTATGAAGATGGTGTTGACCTAGAGCTGAAATTGAATCAGAATTGCGAACGCAAATGGAATGTTCATAAATCCTATTTTGAATTCTACGATTTGTTTGGCCTATATAGGATCGGTGGCAGTCTGCACAAGGAATTTCTTATACTGCGTGTTATTTATTTGGAATGTTGTCTCTGATTGATAGGAGAGATGAAAGTTTTTGTTGGGGGTAAATATTGTATGACACCTTTGATGTAAGGAAGAAAAGAAGCAAGTAGACCCGCCGAGCTCTCTAGTTTAAAACAAGCCCTCGTTCAAAGCGGTTCCCGCGAAAATCACATCAATAGAAGGATCTACAGACATTAATCTCCCACCCAGTCTCAACCCAAAGATTCTGATTCTCATCAAACGAAAGCTTTACTTCCTTAGCTTTTAACCATTTAGTGGAAGGTTGTTGTCTATGACAATCAAAGATGGGTGTTCTAAATTAAGAAGTAATTGTTGTGTGCTTATCCATTTAGTAAATATTGGACTGTTCATTTCACCGTGATAATCTACAGTTAAGGATTTGGAACAAAATAACAAACTGGCCTCTGAAATACAACTTTTTGTTGAACCGGCATGAACCACAATAAATCTTCTTCTATCATAACCACCTGGTTTACGTAAACTTCTGCTGTTGTCATCCTGCCACGACATCATTTAAGAAACACGCTCGTTGTGCTGCGATATGAGTTCTTTTAATTAAAGCTATTTGATGGTCATCTTTTTAAAATTTAAAGAGCGTTCATAAAAATAACATGTCTTTATTTAATAACAGACGGTAGCTGGTTTGTATTTAAAAGTCTTTAAAATAAAAAGTATGTATTTTATCTCGCCAGGTATTAATGAAGCACGGGTAAAAAACCATAGACTCAACCGTCTGTGAGTTTTTGTGGAGTACACTATTGATGATTGTCGAGAAATTTCCCCATATCTGGGGAAAAATTGTGTGGCCTCTTTTAAACTCTATCCTGTACCATATGATATAGTGAAAAGATTATGACGTGAGTTTAAATGTACTATAATGATTATGAAATTGTTCTTTTCGTATTTGTATATTATCTACCATATTTAATTAAAAACACGTCACTTTGTGTTTTGTTCGTTTTGTTTTTCGGTTGAATTCTTATTGTCCTTTTATTTTTGCCTCGTTTATATTTTGATTATGTTTCGGTGACGTTTTCTATTCCTTTCTTTCTTGTTGGATTATTCGTACAGTTTCTCTATACATTCCGGCCCTTTTGAACAATCTATTATGTACTGAAAAGTGTTAATCTGTATATAAGTATGTATAATTTGTTTTTTTTTTATTTACAAGCCACTGTTTGGAAACAATTTCCTTGTCCATGTAAAGGTTAGTATATTTTAAGACAACAATATATAGTGCCAGAAATCAAAATAAAAACTTTTACATCGAGAACACTGACTGAATACAACTAGACAAATCGCAGAAATCCAGATAGAAATTCTATTATTCTACTTATTATAAATAATTTCTTTCATTCGCAATAAACTGTTACGAATGGAACGGAAATTGAATGACTCTTGGCAGGTGTCAAAAACAAGAGGCTGATGCAATTTGTCAAAAGTTTAGAGAAATGAAGCAAATCTGTTTAACTTTATTTGACTCAAAAAAACTCAATTAAAATATCGCAATTACTAATTGCATATTACTTAACGCCAATACTAATATTTAAAGCCGAGGAAAATAGCGGAGTGGGCTACGAGAACTCCGAAAATTCTCGGTCATCTCTATGTCGATGGAATCAATTTTTGGATTATTTCGGCGATGGAGAGACTTCTGGTCTTTTATAAGGCATAAGGCAGTAATCATGTGTAGATGATTCACATCAACAATATTTTATCGTGAAAGAAGCTGATACCGCTAGTCAACAGAATGGAATTAACATAACCAAATCTGCTTCGTGCAGGCGTGGTGAGCTCGTGGTGGCTCAGGGTCACGATTCAACTTAGTCTCGCCGTATTGTAGATGAAAAATCTATAGAGAACTCAGGAAAATATGTATAAAAAATGTAGTAGAACAGTTCATGGAGATATTAAAACTTGGAAACAATAGATTAACGTAATAAAAGTTCAACGTTATAACGAAGAGAAGAAAAAACGTTGTGTTCAATGAAATGATTGTCGCATTTGAACTAAATTGATATACTCGTCACTGGTTTAGTTTTTAAAACTTTTTCGCAGTAGTAAAACAAATTTTTAGTTTTTTTATTAGACAAATTTCAATATGTACATCAATTTTCCAGACTCGAAAGATGCTGCGCCGGTTAAACCACATCTTACTAACAAAGACTATTCCAATTCTACGGGAACTATATTATCGGAAGACTATGCTGAAATCGTTGAAGAGGGGGATTATTCAATTCCTGTAGGTAATACATTTTTTTTGTTTATTATATTCACGTGTTTTAGCACGTGTAGTAATTAATAATGTTAAAGGTAAGTTAAAATCGGAAATATAACAGAAAAGACATGATTTGTTTTAATTAATAGGTAAACAATTGCGAATTTCATAAAGAAGGGGACGAAAACCTGTTATAGGCCAGGAAATTAGGCTGAAAAATGGCAAAACCTCGCCATTTTTTCGTCCAGCATCGATTTGTACAAAAATTTGTAATTAGGCTAATTTCACGATCTAGTTCATTTTCTATATTGAGCCGTTGTACGATTTTGATTTGTTTAAGGGTGAAAACTACCCCTAGTTGTAAAAAATTATAAAATACCATTTTAAACTTTAATATGGTTAACATTTGGTTTTTATTAGTTAAATAATGATTTTTTTTATGCTTTAGGATTTAAGGCTGTTTTAGCAGTTAAAGCACACTGAGATTTGAAATGGGCGTATCACTTACTTTTATAAACTGCTTACGCCAGACCATCTTTACTCATTGGCGCCGGTCGACGGGTAGTTTAATGACAACAAATGCATTATTCTCCATTCAAATTAGTTTTAACACGAACTAACTGATCGTACGTTCATGAGATTTGACGTCACGAAGGCGATAACGATGAAACTAAGCGCCAATGATGAGTAACACGTTTCACTATTAGATTTTAGTATTTTTTAGCAATTTTCTTCAAAGTTGGAACACGCTTTTCTCGATTCTTACTGGACACAGAAAGGTGAAAAAAAATCAATGATTACAGAAAAAAAAACTCTTTCAAGTGATGGGCGTAAAAAGTTTGGTTATAATAGAACGTTAAATAGTATAATCCAATTTTTCAACAGAAGTTTCAAAAAAATAAAAAAAAAGTAAAACCATCACTTTAAAGGCAACATAATTTCGGGTGTCCATTTCGACACGATTTAACGTGTCCAAATTTCGAGACATTTTGTCGGTAAATAACAGAGAAACCACTGTCCCTAGGTTTTGGTGCACCGATAAAACAGCCTCAATATAATATTTAAACTCTTCAAACCACCCATGTTGGAGCTATATAGAAAAAATTTATTTATCCTCAAAGAACGATTTGGGATTAGGATCATCTCACCCTGTACTTCATATTCTATATCATGTACACGGGCGTTGAGTATTTTTAGGGGTGTAAATTACCCCTTATTCTTCTTCTTAACATGCCATACACCAAAGTGCGTAGGCGACTATCTCATTACTAGAATTCTGTTCTTGGCGGCGTGACATTGTACCCCTTATTGTCAAAAATTATATAAAAACCTTGTAAACCTTAAGATGGGTAACATTTGGTTTATATCGGTTAAATAATGATTGTTTTATGCTTTAGGATATAATATACTAATATTTCAACCCTTAATAACGTTGCAATTTTTATAAGTAATTTAATAGATCTATACAGAAAAAAAGTAAAATTACGTACAAAAACATTTATTTACACAAAAATACGAATTTACAAATACAAATAGTTTTTTTCGTCATCCTCATCGAGATCGATGTCATCTTCGTCTTCTTCTATATCTGGTGGATTATTGTTGCAATCTTCCCCGAGCACCCAGAACAAGTGGAATTACAGTATAACCCCTCGGGATGTAATTTATTTACTATAATAAACACAATTGAATAATTCTACAAAAATTGTCAGAGCACGTGTTATTTATTTCGAACGATAGAAAACACTGGCGAAGAATCAACGAAATATACACTCACACACGCAGCCACATGTTTCTTCTTTTGTGTCTTTCGATTTAAATGGAGAAAGTGGAACATATTATAACAGATTACTGGCGAAAAACCGGTTCTGTGGTAATATATACATTGAAAATGCTCTCACTCTCAGCGGTCTCCACTCTCAAGGGGATTCGAATTTTTGGAAAAAATCTTTCGTTTTACCTCACAGCTATTTATTTTTGGTGATAAAAAGGTTTTTTCACAAATAATTTTGTAGGGTATTTTTAAGAGGTTTAAGAGACTATGTAAATTAAATTCCGTAAAAGTTCCGGAAATTTTAGTTACTAAAAAAGCTACAATTTAGTTCTGTATCATTTTTTTGTATCTGCAGTATTTTCGGAGATATTTTGAAGAAAAAGGTGGAAAATACGAAAGTGCAAAAAATTTTGTTCTTTAAACTCCATTTTTCTAAAGTTAGGCCTTTTAAAGAGATTAATCTTCTTGGGTGTATTGATAATCCACATATAAAAAGAATTACAGAAGGGCGAAGATCAATTTTAATTAGGAGGGTAGTTAGGAGGTTGTTTTCACTGATTTTTTCGTAGTAAAAAGTAGGTACCGACCTTTTTATCATAAGTCATTTCTATGCTTTTTTTTTACTTTTTTGAAAGGTTTAATTGTATATCTGAAAAAAGATTCTGTAAGTTTTCCTCGAAAAATGTAAAGTTTTCCCGTTATTTTTGGCTTTGAATATTTCAAATTATGCATTTGACGAAAAAGCTAACCTTTAACATGCCATATCTCGGTTTGTATTGGTCGTAAAACATACATAAAAAAGGATTTTATTTGTGTTTCTAAAAGATACAATTTTGATATCTACGGTTTTTTTTTTATTAAATGCGTATTTTTCGAGTGATTCTCAAAAAACCCTCTAAAAAGTCGATTTTTAACTGTTATTTCGACCGCGAATAACTCGAAAAATATTAGTTATACGAAGAAAATGTAAAGAACATTTTTTTCTTAGAATTACTTTTTAAGTCGATTTCCATGGTTAAAATATAATGAAAAATTCCCACCCCCGAGATGGAGTGGCAACCACCCCCACTGTTTTAGCGTACAGCGATTTGATATAGAAAATGATCCTTGGACGATTCCCTATCTTCTGTGAAAATTTCAACTTAAAGTAATTTCAACTAATTTTTAGACTAACTTATAATCGTAGACTAACGTATCGACATTTTTTTAGTAAAAAATTATGAATTGAATAGACACCAAATCGAATTGCAAGAGATATTAGGAGAAGGTCAGTTCGGAGACGTCCATAAAGGTTGTTTTAAGACGACGGAAGGAATGCTCATTCCGGTTGCTGTCAAAACGTGTAAAGGCGACGCCGATCTAGCTACCACGGAAAAATTCTTGGAAGAAGCATGTAAGTATTGCACAATTTAGTTAAATTCAAGCTGCATCATAATTATTTTATTAAATAAAATGCCTTGCTTGTTTTTTGTTTAATTGAAGTCAGTCATCAACTCAATTTGTATGCTTGAGAATCATTAAAATTCGCCACCTTTTAGTGGAGAAAAAAGACAAAATAATATACAGTACCTTCAACCAACTTATGCCTCTAAACGATTAATGAAGTTCGAAGAAAACCCTTTGTTGTAGTAAAATACACGGTAAACTGCACTGGAATTCTTCTGGAATCTTTTTAAGTTGCAGTTTTGAGAGCTTCTTGCCACATTTCCCTATCTGCGCCATTACTGTATCCACTACATCCAACATTATTATCATAATAGGTTTTATATATACCCCAGATGTGTTCGATGCGATTAAACTGGCAGTGATACGGCGGTAACCGTAGTACTTGATGTCTATAACTTAATACAATTTTGTCAACTATATAAACTGTTAGTTTTTCATTACTTTTCAAAATTATTTTTAACTAAACCAATTTTTATGCTCAATACGTTCCACGACTGTTTTGGTTGTTTCTCCAAAATCTCCGAATGGTAAGGTGCATTATCTATAACTATAACTGGTTGATTCACTTTTCGAGTCATTTAACAAACATATCTGCATTCATGTTTTCATGGTAATCAGCAGATTTTGATTTTGAAGAAAAAATCAAATCTGCGTTTTCTATAAAGCCTTATTTTTTTCCTGCGTGAAGAATGATATGTCTTTTGCCTTCGTTATCTGTGTGTCTTATTGATTTTATGCTGTCGTCTTGCCAAATTCTTTTAATTCCACTATTTGCAAATATCCATGTCTCATCTCAGTATACGAATGTTGCATTTTCAGATTTAAGTCTAGTATATTCTCTCAAAAATTTAAATCTTTTGTGAGCCACACTGCTAAATTCGCATAAAAGTAACCTATTATAATACTTACTAAGTAGTCCTCTTAATTTCAGAAACTTGTCTTTCTCTTATTTTGATCAGTATAGTATATAAACTAACATGTTTAGATACTATTAAGAACACTTTTTTCTCCATCACGTACGTCAATGCTCCTAGAATGTTTACAAGTTGTTTTCTTTCACCTATCCCGAGTGCGCCACAAACGTGTTGATTTATACATAATAATGACTTTAAAGGCTCATTCAACTTACGTCTAGGCATGATCATCATCATTCAGCCCATACTCGTCCACTGCTGAACATAGGCCTCCCGTAGTTCACCCCACAAATTTCTGTCCTGAGCCGCCTGCATCCAATTTTGATGTGTCCGTTTCAGGTCATCCGTCCATCTTGTTTTTGCTCGTCCTCTATTCCTAAAGGCATCTTGTCTGGGTCTCCACTCAAGAATACGTTTTGTCCATCTGCCGTCCTTCGTTCTCGCGACGTGCCCTGCCCAGTTCCATTTTAATGTTGATATTCTTTTGATTGCGTCGGTTACTCGCGATCTACGGCGCAATTCTGTGTTGGGTATTCGGTCTCTCAGGGTTAATCCCAACATGGACCGTTCCATTGCCCTCTGTGTTGTTCGGATTTTGTTTGCGGACGTCTTAGTAAGTGTTAGCGTCTCCGCACCATAGGTTAGAACCGGCAGCACACATTGATCGAAGACTTTTCTCTTCAAGCAGATGGGAAGAGCTGATTGGAAAACATCTCTTAGCTTTCCATAAGCTACCCATGTCAACCCTATTCTACGTATTAGTTCATTGGTCTGGTTATCTCTACTTAAGCGAATTTCGTGTCCCAGATATTTGTATGCTGATGTTTGTTCTATACTTGTTCCAGCTATGTTGATGTTCTCACTCAGAACAAGGTTTGTCATCACTTGTGTTTTTTAGTTATTGATCTTTAAACCCACTTGTGTAGAGGCATGGTAGAGTCTTTCGCACATTTCGATGGCATGATCTATGCGGTCTGTTATCAGGACTATATCTTCCGCGAACCTGAGGTGACTAAGCTGCTCTCCATTTATGTTTATGCCCTTTTCGTCTAGGTTTGCACGCTTACACATGTATTCCAATAATGTTGTAAACAGTTTTGGTGAAATGGTGTCGCCCTGGCGAACTCCACGATGAATGTTGAACTTGTGTGTATCTTTATGGAGTCTGACGCATGCCGTGGCATTATCATAGATATTTTTGATGACAGTGGTGTAGCGGTGATCTATTCGGCACTCTTTTAAAGCTTCTAGCATTTTCTGGTGGTTTACTGTGTCGAATGCTTTCTCATAATCCACGAATATTAGGACGAGGGGTTTATTGTACTCTATACATCTTTCGATGAGGCTTTTAATAACTTGTAGATGGTCGTTTGTGCCGAAGCCTGACCTGAATCCTGCCTGTTCGCATGATTGGTAAAAGTTCATTTTGTTCGAAAGTCTGTTTGTTATGACTTTTGTAAAAAGCTTGTATATGTGTGTGATGAGGCTGATTGGTCTATAGTTTACGAGATTTGTTAAATCTCCTTTCTTAAACATTATAATGATCACTGCATTTTGCCATTGTGATGGTGTTGTTCCTCTTTCAAGGCATTCTGTGAAAAGTATGGAAAGCATTTGTATCAGTTTCTCGCCTCCTAATTTTATGGCTTCGGCAACGACCCCGTCGTCGCCAGGTGACTTATTATTTTACCTAGGCATGATGGTCACTTGAAATTACACTTTGAATTACAATATACTGAATTTAGATCAATATGACAGACACTTTCTAACTGTTGTGCTTGAAAGGTAAAATATTATATTATATTAAAATATAACCATTTATAAAGATCCTAAACACATTAAGCAAATTAGCCTAATCATCATTAGGAATGCCGATTGTAATTTAATTATGTTTGATAAAAAGCTTAGAAATGTTTGGAAACCGTACATAAACAAATTAAAATGTTTCCCACAACATACATGGTCAATCTAACCACCACTAATTAAATTGACAAAATGTTCTAGTTTACTCCGAAGTACTTTTTAACAAAAATTAAAAGTGTTATAAATTTATGCTCTGTACACATAGCCACCATATAACGTTCAACGGATCCGTCATTACTGGATGCGATGTGAACAGAAAACTCGCAGCCGCTATTCTACAAGGATGGGCGCTGTCGTCTTCTTATTGGTACTATCGTCGGAGAAGGAACATTCGACGTTATTGACAGCATCCACTTGTGGTCCAAAGATCTAGAGAGGGTGCTTACATGAGTCAGTTACGAGGTGATGAATCGAAATCTTACAATTACTTTCGTATGTCAATGTCTACTTTTGATGCAAATACTTGCAGTATTGTCTTTGTATTTATCCAGCGTCTTGTCTCAAAGGACTGGCCTATCTTCCACAAAAGCAATTAACATTTCCTTGTCTATTAACTTGTCCCACTCCTTGGTTGACATGGTCACAGAATAAATAACAATCAGAATGCCCACTCTCAGATGCCGCCTTTGACTCGAATTGAGAAATTTGTGACAAGCTACGACAGAACTGTAATTTAAATTTTTAGAGATTCATAATTTAGTATATTTGAAATAATTTAAGCTATTCTTCAACTAAAAGTACGAATAAAATAGTGCATATTATGTCTATAGTTGCCGTAAATATATCAAACTGGGTTAATTTGTCTGTGCACACCAGATAAAATGTCACTGAACAGCACTGGTTCCGTTTAAAACATGGCTGATTCCGTCTGCGCGAACGAGATGCGCGTACTTATTTTTTTTTAAGGAGAGTGGGCATTCTGATTGTTTATTATTCTGTGACATGGTTGATCCGAGTCAAAACCTATCACATCACTCCCTTTCCTACACCCCGCACACACCACCCGCCAAGGACACAGTATCTATCCGTTAAATTCTACGTATCCGTATATTTTTAACTGTTCCGTCGTCGAGTATTCGATGACAAAACGGAATATCATTTTTTAACAGAACGATATTTTTTACTGTATACGGAATACTGTGTCATGTGTGAAATCGCTCATACAACTACATACGCCATCGACGAAAAAAACACGTACACGATAAAACGGAACAGTAAAACGGAGACATGTGTGAACGGGGGCCGTAAGTGAAAGAAATTTGCGTTAAATAACATTATGCAAGACTACTATTTATTAAAAAAATTTAACGAAATATGCCAAACTATGAACAACGGGTTAATAACACATATATTTATTTTATACCGAAAATTGAGCAAAATGTTAAACATTATGAAAAATGTCAGTACAGTTTACCGTGCCTTTTACTACAAAGAAAGGTTTACTGCAAATTCCGTTAATGTACTTTATATTGTGTATTTATAGTTGCCTATCTAGCTACACTATTATGTAAAAATTAACTGCAGGTAAACTGTGATAAAATATTCCAATTCGAAATGTTGTTTTTGACCTTGTTGCAGGTCATAGACAGAAAAACTATTACTAGTTATATCCCTATGTATAACATGATTTTTTATTCCAAGTGATAAACAACTCAAATTTATCCATATTTAGTCAAAATCACATCTTAACACATTTTTATAGTTATTCTCGAAATATCAAAACTATTTTAATTTTAGACATTATGCAAAAATTCGACCACCAGCACATAATAAAACTGATAGGTGTCTGTTCCGAATCTCCCGTTTGGATAGTAATGGAGCTGGCCAGATTAGGCGAGCTGCGGTCCTATCTGCAAAAGAACAAGAACCGATTGGACCTTTCCACTCTCCTCTTGTATGCATTCCAGCTGTCGACGGCTTTAAGTTACTTAGAATCTAAGAAATATGTACATAGAGATATTGCTGCCAGAAACGTGCTCGTCAGTACTGATAGATGTGTCAAATTGGCCGATTTCGGGCTGTCCAGGTGGATGGGAGACGACCAAAGTTACTATAAGGCATCTAAGGGAAAATTGCCCATTAAATGGATGAGTCCCGAAAGTATTAATTTTAGAAGGTTTACCACTGCTAGTGACGTATGGATGTTTGGTATGTACCTCTATTTATTACTATGATCTGCTTTTTCTTATTTTTATGTTTAATTACTTTAATTAATTATCTAAGTGTCGCAAATCATACATAAAAAACAATCTCAGGGTGCCATTTTATAACAAACAAAAAATCAGTTTAGGTTATACTTATATTTTCTCGTGGCTTCCAGTATCCCTTAGTTGTTCCTTCTTGGGAAAAAATAGGAAAAGGAAATAAATAGAAATAACATAAATAAACAAATACAAATATCTTTTATTATCAAAAGAAATGTATGAAAATTTATCAAATAAATTCCACGGGCTTAATTGCCCCAATGAAAATTGTACCACATAAATAATTTTAATTTACCAAATATTTATTGGTTTGTGTTTTATAATATTGATAAAACAACATAAACAAGAAATTTGTATATTCGTAAATTAATTACACTTCCTATGAAAATTTTGAAGTATTGGAATCTTTTTTCATATGTTTTTGTATTCAAAAAACCAAGGGAATTCCAAGAAAACTAAAGAAATATAATCGAAAAGTACTGAACGAAAACGGAGACACTAAAACTGTAAAAACAAGAGAAGCGGAATAATGAAGCGCAAAGAAGAAAAGAAGTGAAAGAAATAGAATAAAAATATGTAGAACCGAAGAAAAAACCGAGATAAATCAAATAATATCGAGGGAAAATGTAAAAACAAGAGATGAACAGAGAAGAGAAAAGAGGAAAAAAATAAATTGTTGGACATATACACTCATTGACAAAACTATCGAATATTTTAGAGTTTTCCAATTTTTTTGGATTCACTATTATTTCAAAATAATTTTTGATTATGGATGTTACTCATATAGTATTCTGATGTTCTCAACTGGTTTGAATATTATGACGTTTATTTTGACGTTTGTTCAGCGTTTAGTGTCGTTTGTACATTTTATCATAAAACACTTTTTTCACGTAAAGGAAAAATCATACTAAATGTCGATTCAGACACATCAGTCCAGTCACAGTCTCGGCGCCGAACCGTTCCTGTTTGGTCACAGAACTATTAATTATCTGACAGCTGGGAAACAGTTCGTCGCCTGATGAATTGTGAATGCCGGCGCCATATTTCTATTAAAGAATAGTTTGTATGACGGATTGTTCGGTTCGGCGCCAGGACTGTGACGAGACGTGACTGATGTGTCTGAATCGACCTTTATTGATGAAGCCCAAGCAGCACAAATTGTAATTTTGTACGAGGAAGAATATACACAAAATGATATCGCACGACGTCTCAGGAGAAGTTAATCTACAGTTTCGAATTAGGCCTAGTCAAGGACGCCCAAAGTACAAAATCACAGTTAATGACCGTTTTTTGGTTCTTAACCCAAATATTACTACCGTCCTTTTAAAAGGCAGTGTAAATTATGCGTAATTTAGGTTAGTACAGCTGCCAACTGATAGATGGCTCTAGAGGGAGTGTTTTCAAGAGCCAGCATTCGACAAGTTTTAACGATTTTAGTGCGCGCACATGCTGTAATTGTGAGGTTATCTGTGTAAATTGCCAGGTTTTGGACTACAAAATGGATGCTTATAATTGGAGGTAAGTCTAAAATTAAAAAACTGTTATTTCACGGCATTGGCATGTGGATTATTGTATAATAGGGACTTATGTACGTATATTCTTGGCTTGAATAGTTGTCACGTTGTTTCAAAGGCTCGCCGCTTGGGATTTCATTTTGTTCTTTTAAAAGGACGGTAGTAATTAGTACTACCAACGTGCGTATTGTTTCAGGAGGCCTCTCAAATTGCATGAGCTATTAGAAGAGCTTGATTCTGATGAAATCCCAGTCCCTCCAGATGGTTTGATCATATTTCCCCCAGAAAATGCCAATGATGATGTCACCGATTGCGACTCCGGCGATGAAGAAATAACTACAATAAATAATTTACCGGGTAGTCAGATGAGAAACGATGTAGAACTTGTTTTTGACAACGCGACTGAATTACCACAAGATTCTGTGAATTCCAGCGTACCAGAAGAAGATTCGAATGATGACAATATACCATTGGCTTTGTTTCTTTCCAAGGAAAAGCTGCCCCATCAATTAGAGAAGAGAATATCTGCGCACTGGATTCAAGGAGACTTGTATCAACACCCTGATTGTACTTACTGGAAAACTCAATTTGGATCGAAAATGACTCAGTCGCCGATGGAAATTTTCAATTTGTTTTTTGATGATGAAGTCATCAATTTGGTTACCGAATACACTAACATCTACGCAGGACAAAGAAATCTTTTGAACGACATTACTCAAAATGAGATTCGATGTTTTATAGGCGTTCTTGTATTGAGTGGTTATGTGGTTGTGCCGAAAAGGTACATGTACTGGGAAAATCGTGACGATTCGCACAACGCAATGGTGGTAGCTGCTATATCTAGGGATAGATTTTCCCACATAATGAAAGTTTTGCATGTTTGCAATAACTTGTCATTAGATAAATTTGATAGATTTGCCAAGATGCGACCCCTGTTCGACGTAATAAACAAAAAATTTATACAATTTTCCCCTTTAGAACAACATCACAGCATAGATGAGGCAATGGTTCCGTATTTTGGTCTCCATCCCACAAAACAATTCATCAGGGGAAAACCAATCCGTTGGAGGTACAAAATGTGGGTAGGAGCCCTTTGTCTGGGATACATAGTTTGGTTTTCTCCTTACCAAGGTAATTCCACTACAATACCTGAACAATATAAAGTCCTTGGATTGGGTGAATCAGTAGTTCTATCCTATTCAGACAGATTTAATGAAGTATGGCCTCAAAGGCGATTCCATCTTATTTTTGATAATTATTTTACTTCTATTCATTTACTGCATGAGCTAAAACAAAGAGGTATATTTGGTACAGGCACTGTAAGGGAAAATCGCACCATGAAATGCCCTTTACCCTGTTCATCTATTATGAAAAAAACTGAACGTGGTAAATACGAGTATCGTCTTGATAAAAATACAGGAATAGTGGTTTGCCGCTGGCATGATAATAATATCGTTTCTATTGCTTCCAATTTTGTACCAGTAATGCCTTGCTTCTCTGTAAAGAGATTTTCACAAGCAGAGAAAAAACATATTCAAGTTCCTCAACCAAATATTGTTAGAATATACAATAACTTCATGGGTGGCGTTGATCGCAGTGACCAGAACATCAGTTTATATCGAGTGTCCATAAGAGGAAAGAAATGGTATTTTCCCTTTTTTGCTCATTGCGTTGATATGGCTATTCAAAATGCGTGGCAGATTCACAAAACTCAAGACGGTAAACTGGATCAACTTGAATTTAGAAGATCTATTGCAACTAATGTTTTGGAAACTTTTAAAAAAGAAACAAAACGCGGACCTTCTAAGCGGAATTCGAATTCGGTAGCCGATTCAAGATATGACGGTACCAACCACTTGGTTCTTTATCAAGAAAAGCAATCGCGATGTGGATATTGTCACAAAAAAGTCCAGTTTTTGTGTGAAAAGTGCAAAATACCTTTACATCCAAAATTTTGTTTTAAATCCTTTCATTCTTTGTAAATTAATACTAATAAAATATATATGATATCTGGTACCGTATATTACTACCGTCCTTTTAAAAGAACATGTCAAAACTTGACAGGTATCGTCATAAAAAAATATATGATTGTGTTTTTTGGTTCCATATGCTATAATTTCCATGAAAATTCGAAATTAATTCAAAATGTTAACAATAAAAGTTTCAGTAATATCTGGGTTAATTCTACACGAAATTGCTCATTGGCATCGATGCACCTCAGAAATGAGCTACTAAATGTTAGTTCAGAAACAGTTGTACCAAAATTAAAAGAAGAAAACTAAAAGCCTAGACGCCCTGCCAAAGTTCCACGTCTTCTATAAAATCATAAAACTCGTCGTTTAGAATTTGCAAGAACACAATATATTAAGTGCAATATCGACAACTAAAAAAATGTTCTTTTTACTGATGAGACCAGAACCCTATTATGGAAACCAGATGGTCAAAACCACGTCTACAGAAGGATATGTTCAAATCTTATTTACCTAACATTAAGCATTATTTTTTTTTCAATTTTCTCCGCTAAAAACTTAAGATTGTTCATTAAACATTGTTAAATCAACTCTTCTTTACAATAAACGACTGAATTCACCAGAATTTATTTAAAAAAAATAAGAATTTGAAAATTCAAAAATATTCGATATTTTTGTCTACGAGTGTATATTTTTTTCTAATTTTCTCTGTCTGGTAATTTTTCTAAAATTAGTGCTTTTATTTTTTAGGTGTGTGTATATGGGAAATTTTAATGTTGGGCGTAAAACCATTCCAAGGGGTCAAAAATAACGACGTCATCGGAAAAATAGAAAACGGAGAACGGCTGCCGTTACCTCCGAATTGTCCTCCTCGTCTCTATTCACTAATGTCGCAATGTTGGTCATACGAACCTAGTAAACGACCGACGTTCAAAGATATTAAAGAAATTCTCCAGGAGATTCTTCTGGAAGAAAGGAGCGCACAACAAGATACGATAAGGAGGGAGAACAGAAAAATGGCAACTATGTCTTGGGGACCTAGCGACGATTTTATCGCTCCTGTCAAACCTGATAGATATCCCATGAGAGGTAATACAATAATTATTTTGTTTTTACATGAACGACCAATAGTACTTTTAGCATAGCATACCATAGTACTGTAAGGTTTATTAAAAGCACACGATCCATTTTATTTCCAATATTCATTTACTCATACAATTGCTTTTTAAATTCTCTCCCAATTTAGAGATTAACTCATTAGGGTGTTTCAAAAAAAGGTAACCCCGTCTCTAGGGTAGGTAAAAAACTGAAAAATAATTGGGGTTTGCTTAGTAAAAAATTTTTGTAACGCCATCCGTTTTCAAGATACAGGGCGTTGAAGAAAAAAAAGATTTACGCATTTTTTACGATCTTGCCGAAACTACTGGCAGCATTGTAATGAAATTTTATACGAATATGTTTTGGAAGCTGATACATCCCATGAATTTGTTTTTATATCTGATTCTCATAAAGGGCGCTAGTTACACGGATCGTACTAAATATTAGTCAATATAACTTTTTTAAGAATATAATTATTAATCAAAATTTCAAGTAAACTTAAACATAATTCAATTTTACACGAAAGAGGTACTCTTGGTAAAACTCAATACTGTGTACCGTTTTCGGAATATTTTGATTTGAAAATTCTGAAGTAATAATTGATGCTGGTACTAATGATAAAGTTCTAATAGGTATATCTCTATTTTCTCCAAGTGTGCCGTGGAAATCTGACATTTATTGATTGTTATGACGATAAATCAACAATAATTAGTTGTTGTGTTGACATGTTATTAACCTTAGGCAATGTTTAGGATGTTCTAGTGCAGCTGTGACACGTTATGCAGAAAAGTTTCTTAGAAGGAACTTACCAGGTAAAAAAACATTTAGAGCCGTTGAACGACGTTGTCGAGAAACTGGGAATGGTAGACCAAGAACAACAAGAACAATTAATAAAGAAAATAATATTTTAAATTTACTTGATCGAGATCCAACAGGTAACGTCAGGAATATAGCAAGACAAACAAATACTTCTTCTTCAAGTACTTGGCGGATACTGAACATGAATTACATCCTTATCATTACAGACAAGTCCAAGAGCTCTTGCCAGATGATCTACCGGTTAGAGTGGATTTTTGTGAAACATTGCAACAAAGGACAGCCCACAATCCAAATTTTTTAAAATGCATTCTTTTTACGGACGAGGCCACCTTTACGCGACTAGGTATGTTTAACTCCCATAATGCACACTACTGGTGTGATGAGAATCCACGAATCAAAAGGGTATCACATTACCAACACTCATTTAACGGTAATGTTTGGACAGCAACTTTAGGTAACAAATTAATAGGTTGTCATATTCTACCTGGAAATCTAAATGGTAATATATATCTTGATTTTTTAAACAATTCCTTATTCGAGATATTAGAAGATTTAACGCTAAACGAGCGAAGATCTTTATTTTTTATGCACGATGGAGCTCCACCACACTTTGATAGAAGGTGTCGTAATTGGTTGAGTAATCATTTTCCGAATCGATGGATTGGTAGAGGTGCAGGACCTCCGATTCATTGACCTCCTCGGTCATGCGATTTTAACCCTTTGGACTACGCAGTTTGGTCGTATATTAAGGAAAAAGTCTATGCTACAGAGGTAAATTCACGGCAAGAATTGGAAGAAAGAATTCAACGTCAATTTAATGACATCATAGCTGATCCCCTACCGTTTAGAAGGTTAATGGAATCTTTAGAAAAAAGAATAGACTTGTGTATTCGCGAAAACGGAGGGCATTTTGAACACTTACTGTAATTGAATTTTATTTTATGTTCTTAGTCATTAATTTAATTTTCTTCTTGTTGTGAGTTTTGTTTAATTACTAACTATTTTATACCAGCATCAATTATTACTTCATAATTTTCAAATCAAAATATTCTGAAAACGGTACACAGTATCGAGTTTTACCAAGAGTACCTTTTTCGTGTAAAATTGAATGATGTGTAAGTATATTTGAAATTTTGATTAATAATTGTACTCTTAAAAAAGTTATATTGACTTATACTTAGTACGATCCGTGTAACTAGCGCCCTCTATGAGAATCAGATATAAAAACAAATTCATGGGATTTATCAGCTTCCAAAAAATATTCGTATAAAATTTCGTAACAATGTTGCCAGTAGTTTCGGCAAAATCGTAAAAAATGCGTAAATTTTTTTTTCTTCAACGCCCTGTATCTTGAAAACGGATGGTGTTACAAAAATTTTTTACTAAGCAAACCCCAATTATTTTTCAGTTTTTTACCTACCCTAAAGACGGGGTTACCTTTTTTTGAAATACCCTGAATAATAAAAACAGCTTTTGTTAATCGTGCAAAAATATTTTAGAAAACGCTTCAACTTTTTAGGAATGTCTATACCGGTCTGACTTTGATGAGTCACTGTTCTATAATGAACAGTGTCTGATATAGTAGGTTGATTTTTATTTAGACTGGCTCTGAATACTTTCTGACTTTTTATCTTCTGTTATTACCACTGTGGCTCAAATAAAACTTATTTTTTAGGTGGCGATCCTCCGTCGTTACAAGAGCATCCAAGTGGTACGCAGACGTACATAATCGCCCAGAATCCAGAAGTGCTGGCCCATCTAATGAAAGAAAACGAAAACAGAGGGTACAATCCAGCTGTTTACAACACTCCTGCCTCGGTATTTAACACAGTAGCTGTAAACTTCCAAAAAGCGGAAGATACTATTGAGCCAGTCCTTATAACCGAACCAATTCCTATGCATAACCTCCAAAAACTCGATCCAGAGGTCCATGACAACGTTCCGATCGAGAAGAAAACGAGCACGTTGGAAAGAACGTCTTCTCGTTCGAGTACGGGTAGCTCTACGCCGAAAATGGGCTCATTAGAACGGAAGTCTTTGGAGAGCTCTGGATCTTCCAAGTTTAGCAGCTCTATAGAGTTTAATAGCACTCCGTTCAGTACTCCAGGCGTGTTCACTCCGAAATTAGGATCGCTAGAACGAAAATCTCACAATACGTCACCGAAAATGGGCTCTCTAGAACGTCAACAGAAGTTTTCGTTGAAAATGGACTCTCTGGAACGTAACGTCCACATGTCCCCCCAAGCCCAACCCGCTCCCGGAGGTTATGACGTCGATCACATCCCCATTTACCACCCTCATCCCGTCATTTACCAATTTAGCGATAAATCCAAAGACCCCCAACATTTTAAGGAGAGCATATATGATTTCGGAGGGGCGAATGTAAAAAGTTGTGCGCACAAACAGCAGTTTTTAGTGCAAAACTCGGCGCCCCAGGTTCGAAAGTTGCATGAAAGTTGCCTCTGTGTGAATTTTTTGAGCTTGATTTAAGTTGCGGAATGACCTGAGAAGCACTTTGCGTTTTTTATCGGTATGAGAAGTATGTAAGACGCTGTTAAAAGAGAAATAACTATTTTGCATAAAATTTAATGCTCTTGAGTGGCTGTATAGGAATATTGAAACACGCGTCAACACACTTAACCTTATTCCTTCACATGAGTTCAAAGAATATCGTGACGTCATTGTTTATGATTATGTTAAGTTAGATTTTACCTTCGTACTTTATTGGTTCGATCTGACCTAAAACAATACAGAAAATATACAAAATGACCTCTATTTATTTCTCTTTTGCATGAAGGCGTCGATTTTTACTCTTGATTTGATATTTCTGTTTCTTTTTTTGGAATTTTGCAGTTGCTTGACGTTTCATAACCACTTTGCAATTTTTTCTACATTTTCATATATTACACTTGTCATTTTTCCATTATAATAGCATTAGAAACATTTGCTACAACACTAAGTTACATACATATGCACAAAATAATATGAAATCATAACTTACAGATGTGACAATGTAGACTAAAGGCAAACCAAACGTTGTTGCACGTGACTTATCACTTCCATATGGAAATTTGTTTTTGTACTTCGAAAACGTTTTGTATCTGGAAGCTAAAAGAACATTCTTGTGATTTATTCCTTTTAAAATATTTGGTAAGGTTGAGATGCAACGAAAAACAGTTTCAGGACAAAAATAGTATCAATAATTTATTATTGTTAATCCTATTTACTGACACAATGATTGCTTATCATGTTCTTGTATGACACCACTTTTCATGTGTGGATAGGTTTGCTTAAATTGTGTTTAACCTGACTGTATTTATTCAATGCATTCGTATACAATTATGCAATCGTATACAAGATATTCACAAAGATCATCAACAATAGATTAACAAACGCATTAGATGCTGCGCAGCCGAGAGAACGAGCTGGCTTCAGAAGTGGATTCAGTACCATAGATCATATTACATACACTTCGAGAACTAATGAGTAGAGCTAAATAATATGAAATACCGCTAGCATTAACCTTCATAGATTTCGAGAAAGCTTTCGATTCTATATATCCTAAGGCAGTAATAGAAGATTTGACCAACCAAGGCATTGGTTGGTAAAAATTTATGAAAATACTCCAGAATTTCCTACTACTAGAGGCGCCAACAAGGAGACGCATTATCACTGTAACTCTAGAAAATATATTCAGCAAAATGAACTGTCAGAACAAAGGAATATCCATTGATGGAGAATACCTCAGCCATCTAATATTTGCAGACAATATCGTTCTATTTGCTAATAATTCTGCAGAACTATAAGAACCTATAAGCGACTTAAATGCAGCTAGCAATGAAGTTGGCCTAAAAATGAACTTGACAAAAATAAAAACCATGTACAACGAGCTAGTGGATGTCCAAGATGTAATAATAAACAATACTGCACTTAAGACAGTATACTAGTATGTATATCTGGGACAATTAATACATAAATTTGGCTCCTTACTTTTAGAAACCAACAGAATAATGAAAACTAGCTTGGACATCTTTTGGTAGAAATGCAGTTATATTAAAATCAAAGAAGAAGAAACAAGCATTCGATCAGTGTATACTATCAATCATGCACGTGTACCATTCAGATTGGTTTGAAAGGACACCAAAGCCCCTGCCATGGGATCTCGAAGTCTTCCATAAAGATATTGGCAATTGCAGGAGATAGTAGGGAGCCCATTGGGGCACCATGTTCGTAAATATTTAATGGTTTTAGATTTAATGTTAAATTTTTCAATCTACACTCTTCTGATTTTCTAAAAACCGGAATCCCATTTTTTTACTAAATTTCCAAAAGAATCAATCCTTGCTGTAAATTGAATTTCCTTTTCATTTTAACAGCTTCAAATATTTCATTTTTTTCTTTAATATTGGACCTTGTTGGGGTGGGAAATTTCCCCCATATATCCGCCACTGGTTTTGTCAGGTATCAACTTTACAATACTTGTTTTGCGTAAAGCCATTGAACTGTGACTATTTTGAAATGACCACACAGAATTGAACAAAAATCTAAGAATTTACTGACAAAAGGGCGTTCAAATTATGTATTACTTGCCATATTATCTATTTATTTAAGGTTAAATATTTTAGATCGTTTGAAAAATATTTATCGGTGTGTTTGTTTTGGTTATGTTAGTTATTTATTTAAGTAGAAGAATTATAAATTAAATACCAAAATCGTAGCATGCAGCATGGATTTTGAAAATTACCAATGAAAATTGTCTTTTCTCATTTTATATAAAAACTGTTCCTTTTGCCAGTATTTTACTTTCGAGAAATCACTTAGTCCACAACTTTCCTAAAATTGCTATTTTTACCAATTTCCAATAATGTGTAAAAATCGAGAATTATGTCTCTGTCAACCTATTTCATTCTTAAAAACAACTTAAAATATTTCACTGGTTACTTAGACTTTTCCACGCTTTCAATTTATTCTGCGATTTTTGATAATAGTATATTTTTAATTGTGTGACTATTTTATGTATGGTATTTTGTTTGGGAACGTTTAAAATTTAAAAACCTTCAGGGTTGTTCATACAATATATTTGTGTGTAAACAAGTTTATTAAATTTAAACTTCACTGTCATATTTTAATACCATTTCAAATTGTAGTCATCATCACAATATGCTTTTTCAAATTTTTGTAACAGTTTGTCTTTCTCGTCTTGGTTTAAAATTTTATAAAAGTTTACTACAATTTATCATTAGCGTTTTTTTCATTCATCGTAATTTATTTTCTATATAGTCATCAGTCGAAGTCATAATTGGAGTAGGCTGTGAAAATTAATTGTCGGGTAGTGGAACTGTAGCTATATGATATGTGTGTCCCACTTTTTTGACACGTTCTGAGCAGTCGGTACATGTTAATCAACATTCACAAAGCAGTTTGTAATGTTATGTAATTTTGTTTTTAAATGAATTATTAGTTTTGTTTTTTGTTGCATTTTGAGGTTATAATAGACATGTCAGTTATATGGAAGTGACTAAAATACCTACACCAAATACTTTCACAGTCTATTCTATTTAGACACTTTTTCCTGGTGACTTTTTGTGTGACAATTTGTTTCATTTTGTAGCTTATATCTTCCATATACGGCGACCAGCTGTTGCTCGAGAGTGGTAGAGACCAAACGTTCAACGTTGTTTTGAGGCAAAAACTAAACCAGCAGCAAATGGAATCTGAGGAAGATTCGAAGTGGTTGGCAGAATCTGAAACGAATCTGGTAAATTTCGGAGTTTCATTTTATCTTTATAAACCTTACCTAACCTACAGACACTAAACTGCGTTTCACGGATACTTTGCAGTACAGACTCTTATGAAGAACAGTGTTGCAAGACATATTTTAAACAATTGATATTTTTCTTTTCTAAGAAGTAAACATAGTTTTCATAGCACAGTGCCGCTTGTACTGCAAAGTGACTGCTAAACGCGTTATATACTATGACGTTATTGTTTCTAATATGCATGATGCTTTTCAGAAACGACTAAGTCTGAATCAGGAATCTGAGCCTACCGAAAGTACTTTAACCTCCCCACCAACTAGTCCGAGTTACGTAAGTTTCAGTACTTATCAGCCGTTGTCGAAGACGTCGTCGAAACTCGAAAATTATACCGCCAAAGAAAACGAACTGCATAGTAGTACATGTTCGGTGAACAGCAGTAAAAGCCATTCCCCCGTCGAGTCTGCGTTGAATACGTTAAAAAGTAATCAAAGTGATGACCACAAAGAAGATTCGTGTAGAAGTACAGGATCGGGTGTTATAGAGTGTGAAAATAGGGTTAGTAAGTACTGCTTTATATAATAATTTAGAGGTACACAAAGAAGACATAAAATAGTCGTAAAAGCACTTTTCCCTCCTTTATACATGTTTGATTCAGTCACCTAGTATATTGTCTACTGATATAATGACACAATTTTAAAGCTAACATGCGCCAACGTTGATTTCTTCGGATATAGGAATAACCCTTAAACGGACATCCTCATACTCTGAGACCTTTAGTGTCACATTATAATGAATTTTAGCAACCCTGTTTGGTTGTCACATAATTTTTTATGGCCTACAGAAATGATTCAACTACGACTGAACAGTATCCCAATATGTCATAAAAACTTCTGCGGACAGATGTAAGAGTTTCTGCTGCAACAGAATTGGAGAGTTCTGTTATTCGGTTTTTTAATTCATCCAAATTTTGGGCTCTAGCCTCAGGATGATCGTAGCTGATGCTTTTTAAATGTCCCCAAAAAAGAAGTCCATGGGTGTAAGAATTGGAGATCGCGCAGGCCAATTAATATCGCCTGTTCCACTGATAACTCGGTTCGGGGAAGTATTCAAGCATTGTGAACTGAACAGCCATCTTGATGGATCCAAACACTCCCCAGATTTACATCAGGAAGATTGAGAATAGCGGGAAGAATATGATTATGTAACAAATCGAGGTATACTCTACTGTTCAAGTTCACCAGCCAAAGAGCTAAGTTCGGAGACAAAAATTTTGAGCAACAAGTTCTGGGATTGGATTATGGGATATGGATCAATGTATTTAGAGAACGACAATGAACTTGAAGTCTTGAAGCCTTCTTGAAGCTGAGCAACAACTTGCTGGGCAGAAGCGGAGAACCACAGTTCTTTATTGGCAGAAAAGACAAGAAGGAATATAAATGATTAAAAAATGCATCGTCTTCTGTTCAAAAAACGCCAAAACAAACATTATCCAACAATCTCCCGGACTTGCCAGAAAAGATGCCCAAATAGTAAATCTTGGCAATATAGAAATTTGGAAATGCTTATTTGATGAACCAATAATTGATAAAATTGTCCTATGCACAAATGATAAACGAATTTCAATTAAAAGCAAACTCAAAAACTTGAAAGGAAGTACACGCATTTATCGTTTTGCTTATGCTCATTTCATTTTTCATATCTTACTGCGGAAATATGAATTCACTAATAGTAAAGGGCCTAACTGAAAGACCTATTTTTAGATCAATCATGTCCATTCAGCGCTTTGAAATATTAGTGAGTTATCTTAGGTTTGATGATGCCACAATTCCGAAATATTCAATACTCCAAAGAAATGTACTGTATTCGTGATAATGTAATAGTGGATGAAATGCTTGTCTCTTTTAGAAGTAAATCTGGATTTCGCATGTACATGCCAAGAAATCAGCTAAATATGGTATAAAAACTCAATTTGCAGCATGCTTGGCTGACGACTCGTATAGTTCTTACCTCTATAATGCTTACATTTATACGGGAATGGGCAGTGACGGAACTGGGCTTTCCAAAGAAGAACGTAGGCTTTTGAAACCAACTTAAATCAGTTTTACGTCTATGTAAACCGCTTCAAAGATCGAACCGGAATATTACGGCCAACAAAATTCACTTCATTGGAGCTGGTAGAACTTAAAAAAAGATCTCTAACATATGTCGGCACTATGAAGATGAATAAAACTATTATACCACCAGAGTTCAAAGCAAATAAATCTAGACCGATGGGATCAACACTTTATGGATTTGCTACTAATATACATGTAACTCTCTTGTCAATTTTTCCGAAAATCAACAGATCAGTTGTGCTTTCGTCTATGCATGATAGTGTTGAAACAGACTCTGGTAAAAATAAACCGGAAATTGTCTGTTATTGTAACAAAACAATTAGTGATGTAGACATTCTGGATATGAAGTTCTGCTTTATATTCATCTAATAGAAGAACCAGGGACATGGCCGTTAGCAATATTTTAGACTTTTTATAAGTTGTGTCAATAGTTTAATATTATATTTGTGTTCTGTCAAAATCCCTCAATGAAAAGGATCCACTTTATTCAAAGTTTGGCTATGACACTCATAAAACCACATCTAAGGAGACGTTTATTAATTCTAAATCTTCCTATAAGGTCACGTATATATGAAGACATACCTGAAGAATTAGAAAATCCGAAGAACTTCCATCTGACAAACTTCAGAAACGCATACAATCATACATCATACAGATGCATAAAATGTAGCGATCCTATTTGCTTGCTAACTTTATAATTAATAGTAATTATTGAAAATCGGTGTGTTTACTTTAATTGGTTCTTTTTTAATATTTTTGTAGGTATCGCTGAGTTAAAAAATAAATCTTTAGAATGGTAGCATAGTATTTTCTTTTATGAATAAAAATGTAAAATTATACATCTAAAATCAAATTAAATGTTTCTATGTAGATATTTTTGGGCCAGGTCCCTGAGACCGGATGTTTCCCATTATGTACTATAGCCACATGTTTCGGTTTAAGAAATTACCTAACAAACAAATACTTTTTATTCTTTTTAACATTTATTTTTGTATTTTTAGGATACTACACAAAATACTGCGCACTATCTTGATAGAACTAACGACCGTGTGTACGAATGTACGACGGACGTCGTGCGCGCAGTGATGTCTCTTTCTCAAAATGTCCAAAAAGCTGTAGCTGACCAGTATCTCGATTTGGTCAAGAAGGTAGGCGTGGAACTTAGGGCTCTTCTAGCTAGTGTCGATGATATCGTCCCTTTATTTCCATCGACAGCTCATCGAGAAGTCGAAATGGCCCATAAGGTTTTATCTAAAGATATGTCTGAGTTGGTGAATGCTATGAAGTTAGCACAACAGTATAGTAATACCACTTTGGATGTGGAGTATAGAAAGTAAGTATCTGTATTATTTGCATTATTCGAATTACCATATAATAATAGAATGTTTAATAAAGTTTGCGATTCGATAAGAAGAACAATATTTTACGATTTGAAATACACTTTGTTCCAACGAGATTCCAATTTATGAAAGCTTTGTTAATTCCCATGAAAGCTTTTTTGCAAATAATAATTTTGTCACCTGAGCCTGCCACGAAGTAACTAATGCTATATCTTCTATTCTTCACACTTTCTATAAGCTCTTGTAAGTATGAATCTTGTGTATTCTTAATAAGCATGCTTCTGAATTTGGCAAGTATTTCAGCCCTTACACCCGCATTAACTTTTTCAAAGCACTTCAAGCGACAACTACAAAAAATATATAATAATTTTATGCTTTAAAACTTTCTTAACCTTAAATCTTACCGAGCAAGTGTATGACTTTAAGGTTGAGTTTACCGAAAGTACAAGCTGATTGTAGCCGCAAATGTCAAACATGGAACAAACAATTTCGGTATGGCAGTGTTGACATGTTTTTATAATCTAGATGGTGTATGTTTCAAATATAAAAAGATAAAGCTTTAGAAAAGTACATTTTGTTTATAGTATGTTATGCATTCTGCAGTTTTTGATTTATATACAACAACGATGAGTATATATTTGTTTCTTTGGAGATTAATTGCAGGTAATTATTAGAATTTTTTTTTAGCAATTGCCCTTTGGTAGATTAGTGGATAAATTTGGCAATCGTCAAATCAGCAGTTGCCAGATCGCAACAGATGTTTGCAATTAATCTCGAAAGAGAAAAATATTTACTCGTTATTGTTTCATATAAATTAAAAATTGCAGAATTCATAAAATTGTGTAATCGAAATATAATTTTTAAAAGATTTATCTCTTTATATTTGAAGCATACAACATATGCATTATAAACACTGCCAAACCGAAATATTTTTGACATTTGCGGGTATATTCAGCTTGTACTTTCGGTAAATTCAACCGACTTTAACCTTTTGCCATATTTCCGATACGACCCCCATTCTAAACTGGCTTTGAGGAGCTTGCGTAGGTATGGTATCAATACCTCTAATCCCATATGCAACAGTATTGGATATATGCCATCTATCCCTGGAGACTTATATTGCCGAAACTTATTTATATCCCATCTAATTCTGATTGGTCTTGTGATTGCTGTGGCTACTTCAAAATCTGTAGACCTTGGCCTAGTGAGCCTTTGGTCTATGTCGATTTATCAGTTCTCTAAACCTTTCCTCTTTGGTGTCCGTAAACTTGCCATTAGCTTTCTTTAGTGATCATAGTTTAGGCATTAGTTGTCTGCCAGAGGTTTGTCTGTCACCAGACTTACAGCGAATAGATAATAATTGATTAACAAAACCAACAATATTTTGTTACAGAGGAATGTTAGGAGCAGCTCACGTACTAGCAATGGATTCCAAGAATCTCTTAGACGTGGTAGATTCAATAAGAGCACGCCATCCTCATATAATCCAACACCTAAATAAGTCATTTAACTCGATGCCTGAATGCGAACAAAACCAACAAATTCAGACGAAAGAACAAACTGCGGCCGAGATCATACCACAGTACCCTTCATCCATGTCTCCGACGCCAGTATCGTGCACTTTTGTGCAAGTACCACTCTATACTGCTAATATACAATCGGCTTCCTCTTCTAGTTTGAACACCAACGTACTAGATAGTTAATTGAAATGTATGTTTTCGTTTGGTGGACAGTGTCACATTGACAGATTTGTTTCTAATAAAAACATTGAATTAGGTACTGCTTAAGTCGAATGTTTATACAGGGTGACGAACAGTACTAGTCTTGGAATATTGTGTGGATGTATCAGAAGATATAGATTTCTGATTTTCACAAAAGTTGTATATGAATTTTTAAAAGAAAAAATATTTTGAATGACTGTTTTATTTCCGAAAAAGCTTCAACGTATTGCAAAAAATATATATTCTAATATTTTGAAAAACGTTTTTAATCTGACAGTTCGAAATTTAACAGTGTCTTCATAAGATATTTGTAAAATATTACTATAAATTGTGTAGATAAAACTTGTGCCAAAATCAGTGAACTAGTTTGCTTTTTTATTCACACGATCTTCTGAAATCAATACTTTACGTCACGCTGTACATATTCTATTTTATTTTATTACACATATATAAAATGTGATACTTTCCGATGTTATAAATAATTGTGTTATATATTATGTGAAAAAAGAAGGTATTAAAAAGATTTAGAAATTTTTTGGATTGTTTTTATAAAAGTGTAAAATATTTATATGACGTAAAGGTATTTTAATCTTCCAAAAATAACTTGGCTTTAAATCAATAAATTGACATAATAAAAGTGTTTTTGAGTTTTTTTTTTCAACCTTATATCTTTCTTTTATTTATGTTCTGCTTTAGTATGGGTGTATTTTTTATTAATGGTTTCCATGCAAATTATTGGACGATATTAAAAGAACTGCAGGGCCAATGTGGAAACGTCTTACAAATAACAGAGATGAATGGCGAAAATTAGGAGAGGCCTATATTCGGCAATCCGAATAAGAAAAGGGCTTAAAAAATGCAAATTATCCTTGTATTGTAGATTTCTTTATACTTCATAAATATCATTGCATGTTCTGCAAAAATGATTTCGCTGAAATTAGCTCCTTTTTCATGTCCTGGAGGAGTGAGAGCATCTTTTCCACGTTTACAAACTTGTTGATTTCCGCCCATGTGTTCTTGATACCTTCTGCTGTAGCTGTTGATTTCCCTTCGCCGTTTGTGCATAAGAGACGCCGCTGACTGTTGTCCTGAAAGTAGATGGGTGTGGTGGAGGCGCTACTTTCTGTTGTGGTTGACTTCTGGCTCTTCTTGCCGCCTGTTGATTGAGTTATTCAATGTGCTTTTGCCTTTTACGCACATTGGATAATTTGAAGTATGTTCTCCGCTGCAGTTGCAGCATTTGACCTTCTGTGCCCTAACTATCCTTTGGCAATGGGCAGTTTCTTGTCGGGTGATTTGCGGCACATTTCATACATCTTGTTGACCTGTAGCAATTCCTGCATGAGTGTCCGAAACTCCGAAATTCTGGCAGCTGTAACACTGCGTCGCACTTTGTAGGTTTGGAATACGCATCTGACACGTATGTTCTGGAGTCCGTTAATCTTCTTTACCTTCTTGAGGTTCTGCTGCTTATCTACCTGTAACGATTTGTTTTTAGGTTAGGTTCCATGATGCTCCGGTAGCATGAGATTTCAATTGCTTCTAACCTCTCCCCGTTTCCGTCTTAAGTAATAGTTATAAAATAACTATATACGGACGTAACTACGCCATCTAACAACAAAAAGAGAAATCATTGAATTCGATTTCGCCATGTAGAAATCGTTTGATTTCTCTTTTTATATTTATTTTTAGGTATTAACATAATTGAATTATGTAGATGCAAAATTTACATTCTCCATTTTCGTAAAAATGAGAAAAACTGTTTAATATTGACGGCAATGGTATAGCTACAATTTTTTTTGGGTAACAACTTTGTTGTAATAGAAACTGTTTGCCTAAACTTTATGGTTGTATTTCATGAGGATTGTTTTGTAAATTTAATTTTAAATTCTGACCATGTGAGTTTTGAACTAAAATGTGGTTAACTGTAAGTTTTGCACCAAACTCTCATGGATAATGTTAGCTATGAAGCAAAATATTTGAACTTTACCTTTAAAATCTAGAATAAAAAAAGGTGATTTAATTATTATGTTATGATTTTTGTGGGTTGGTAATAAAACATTAAATAAATTATTTTGTTTTAATATTTTTTAACACATAATTAAATTTATTTTAAAGTGCTATGATGTTTTACTCTTTAAAATTAAATTATTTCTTTCGTATACTTTTTTTATTGTTTTAGATACATTGTTTGGAATAATGTATTTTTAAACATTAAAGGATGTTTACATCTTCAATGTGTTCGCAAACTGATTCGGGTTCTGCATTGTCATCAGCCCCATCGATGACATTTTTGTAGAAGAGTAAATCCTCATTGTCCCTGTAATGTTTTTTCAATAAGTTGTTGATGTCAGCTTTCTTCACTGGTTTCGAATTTTACAAAGAAATCAAGTTTGGGTTTATGTTCAAAAGCAGTTTTCCCGGCTTGGTTAGAGACTTTTCCACACCTATGTCTGAATTGTACTCAATCCTAACGAGAACATTTTTATATTTAGTTATTGTTAGAATAATCCTTTTGTAGGTCCCCAGTTGAAAATGAATTTGTGCCGGTCTTTTCTTTTTTCCAGGCCCATGTAAATGCAACAAGTAAGATAAACAAAACACCAACAGAGTGACGATTCGTCCTACGCATTTTGATTGGTTGAATGTGAATTTTGCGGCAAATTATGTTGGATAATGTGCCGGTGACATGTTTCAGAACTTCATTTTCAGTAAGTTCTTTCAATATTAAAATGTGTTTAAAAGATGAATTGATTAATATACATAACCCATACGTCATATGTATGAAAATTTGGAGAATGTGAATTTTGCATTAAACAATTCAATTAGCTAGGCAACCAATAACACTCAATCCTTATTAAGGCAACATAATAGAGACAAATAAATTTTTACTTTTTAAGAGTTTTTATACTCACCTTTTAAAAACTTATCATTTTCTTACTGTATTTATTTTCAAAAAAGATCTTAATCTAAGGAAGTAAGGGGGGCACCTTTAAACAATACTACAAACACAACACCGAAAGTGAGAGAAACAATACTACACAGTACAAAATGGAGATATAAATTGCACCTTTTATTCCAACCAAGTATTAAACATCTTTTTCAATCTAGATAAGAAAAAGAGCTAAATGAGATGGAAAGAGATATGGATGTAGAACAAGAATACAACAATCTCCAAACTATAATAAAAACAATTGCTTATGAAGTATTAGGAACAGAGAATAACAACAAAAAACATCACGAACCACCATGGATGATATAAAACGTAAAAGAAATGTCACAAGAAAAAAACAAAATATATAAGAAATGGCTAACAAATAAAACATCTAGCAATGGAGAGCAATATCAAAGGAAAAACGGAGAAGTACGCAATCAAATAAAAGAAGCAAAAAACAATTTCTGGAAATAAAAATGTGTCCAAGTTGAAAATTTAATTGGTGGTTCTCAGACTATGGAGAACTATCAATAATCTAAAGAAAAACAACTAATGCAACTTAATCCCGATAGAAAAGTGGGAATATCACTAAAAATTTACTCCAAGAGTCCAGATTGGAATATATGGTAGAGGAATACAGTGTGGAGAGACATACAAATAGTATCATTAATACTACTAACAAAGATGTCCGTACTGCGTTAATTAAAATGAAAAACGGGCAATCTCCAGGTAGCTGTAGAGTTATTTAAAGCAGGAGGCCCACTCCTAACAGAACGAATAACTTTTCTAATGCATCAATGCTGCCAACAAATTAAAGTACCATCTGAATGGAAAACCGCTCACCAAGTGTCCATCTTTAAAAAGGGTAATCGAAAAGATCCATATTGCTACAGATGATTAAGTGTTATACCTTCTTTCGGAATAATATATGGAAAAATACAAGAAGATGTAGGACATCTAATTAGCGAAGACCAAAGTGGATTTACGCCTGGTAGATCTTGCACTGATAACTTGTTTATACTCCCAACAATTAATAGAAAAATAATTTGGTACCAAAGTTCATCTAGCCTTCATCGACCTAAAAAAGACGTATGATACAGTTCCAAGAATTAAATTGGGCAAGTTTTACAACAACTCGCCATTAGTCCATATCTTTTAGCAATAATCACAAAAGTATACAGGGATAACACTACTTACCAAAAAATCGGAAATAGAACCAATAAAAGTAACCAAAGGACTAAGACAAGAATGCAGTATGTCACCTTTACTGTTTAATTTATATATTGAGGCAGCTCTCCAAAATTGGAAAAACCACTGTCAGGGAATGGGAATCCCCATAGGAAATGACGTACTGTTCTCCCTGAACTTTGCGGATGACCAAGTCATCCTAGCTCAAGATTCTTATGATCTAGAATTTATGATAAATCGTCTGTACAGAGAATATGCAAAATGGGGGCTACAAGTCAGCATGAATAAAAGAGAATATTTAGTTATCAATTCAGATGCAAGGTTTTAAGTGTTGATAAACGAGGACGTGGAAATCAAACAAGTGGAAAAATTTTAATATTTAAGTGCACTCATTAATATGAACGGCTTGGGAGAAACTGAAATTAAACACCGAATTAATCAGGGATTAAAATTATAGGATGTCTGAACTCCTTATAGTGGGATCGCAACATTTCCAAAATGAACAAAAAAAAAAGGGCAAACCACGATTGAATCAGTTCTTTGTTATGGCTCTGAAGTATGGACAATTAATGTAGACTTGAAGAGAAAATTGTTGGCAGTTGAAATGGATTATTTGAGAAGAAGAGCTAGAACATCAAGGCTGGAAAGGAAGACCAACGAATCTATAAGAAATAACATGAATGCTACAGAAACGGTCATTGACAGAATAGAAAGAAGAGGTTTAATCTTCATCTAAATTTTCCCAAAAACATAAACATTTAAAGTGATTATTATCACTATAAGACAAGTTTTATATAAAAATCTATAGCTTAGTAAAATTCACAATGTACTCCTCTACCATCTATATTATAATCAAAATTGAACATACAATATGAACGAGCACTAAACCATAGCTAAAGAGTTTTAGTTAGATGCTCGAAAGTCCTAATTTATGTAGAAGATAAATAACAAACACAACATGAAAAAAAAAGAAAAAGCTTGAAAATACAATCATAAATTAAAAAAAAATAAGGATTATGAATGAGATCTGGCTGATAAAATACTGATGGAATAGTAACGACAAGTGCAATCAGCGATGTGTTTTTTCCAAACTAACGTTGTAACATTTTATTCACCACATCAAATCAAATCCGTGTGTGATATAAATAAAAAACTCATGAACATATTTAATATACATACAAAAATTATTAACAAGTGATCTTCATGTATGTACAATAAAGTAAATGCATAGCAATATCTCTTAATAAGCACTTTTTGTTTTCAAGTTCGTCAAAGTCGTTATTAATTACAATATAATAGTTCACATTGGCCATCGAACACAAAATACGGCATCTGCGACGATTCAATACATTAGAGAATCTCGAATTCGTGGTCTGAGTCAAAATATTTACTACTAGATTCTTGGTAATCTAAAACAAAAACAAATATATCATTGACATCAATTTATTCATGGAAATATTATTAATTCGACATGAAAATATTTTCACAAATTGCCTTACCTGTGAATGATGCAGCTCCAGCTTCTACGGCGTTTTCTAAAATTGGTGACCATTCTTTTGGTTTGTTAAAACTAATTTCGAACATTGGCTCTTTTTCTGGATCGATAAGATCAGTTTTTACTCTCTGACAAAAATCATCAAAATCTTGTTCCGTTTTACAAAAGAAACACTACAAATAAAGCACTATTAGAACAGAAAGAAATATTCTAAGGACTTGATTAAAGTTGTTTTTTTTTTCACATAAAACGGGAAGCTACAAAAATGTTCTTCTTTGTAACGAAAATAATGTGGAAAATAGAATGAAAAAATTATAAAAATAAGCAAAAACAAATAATTTGGATAATAAAACATTTAGTTTTCTTTCTACTAGAAACTTACAGAATAAATTATAGAATTAACAAAATCAATGACCTACCATAGCTATCGATGGATCCATTTTGAGTATGTTGATTCTAGATGCATATTTACAATGATAAGTTAAGTCTGCTTCTATTTGTTCGATAGTTTCTTTATTTTCGACACAACAAGTCTTTTGGGTGTGATGAGGATCGAGATATATCACTTCTTTACCCACACAACCGATAAAATAAAGAGCGACATTCGGTTTTCCACCAATCAGTCCTAGACTTTGCCTAAACTGGAAGCATTTCTGCAAAAAAAAATAAAAATGATTACCAAATAATATGTACTCTGAAATAAACATATAGGTATTGATACAATCTGATAATTGTCAATAAATGGAAGTAGTTGATACTTACTTGCAAGCCACTAACATATATAGGATTGATTTCAGTGAGCCCTAACCTCAGGGGCACAATAAGTAATAATGGTTTCCATTCGTAGGTTGTTAAATTTGTACCATCAAGTTTCCTTTTTAAAAAGCATAATTCCTCTAAAATATACAATAATATGTATTATAAAAAAGTATCTTTTATATATCATTTTTGCATTGATTGCAGATTTTAATGAAAGGTTTAGTATTTAAAATTAAACAAATTTTGAGATTGATAGGAAATGAGCACCGAAATGCCTCCAGGTTGACATTACAAGAACTAACAGGCCATTGAAATAGATGATTATCTTCCTTGTGTATTGAAAGGTTTAAAAAGTCTATTTTATCTTGCTGTAACATCCAAACTTTTTTATATTGCTATTGGGTGTCATATGTATTATAAAGTATTTTTTCAATAAAATACAACCATAATGTAGAAGCTAATTGATCAGGGGTAATAAAAATAAAGTAATACATGAAAAAACTTAACATTTTCATTATAGTAGTTACTAAGTTTCATATAAATATTAAGGTAGGTTAATTAGCTACAATTGACTTATTGTAAAGGAAATGATGGGATTCAAACTAATGGGACAATTTCATGTGGAGATGTGGGTATGTCACGAAAGTATAGTTTAATTTTGTTTAGGATTTTAAGAAAGATTTTTGAAGTGATAATCAAAACAGCAAAATAAACATATTTGAAACAGGAAATTGAAGTTAATTCCCATTAAAGATAATAAATAGTGATGAATTCGGCTGTTACTTGATGGAAATTCATTTTATATAACAATAAAACACCAAAAACTTTGTTTTCAAAACTCCATATTTCATAAACCTACCCATACTGACACAAATATACACAATTCATCATCCCATCCTACACAACAGAAACTGGCAGCCTATCACAGCAGGTAACCTACATAGATTAATAGAAATTCCTATGTCAAAATACAACTTTGAGACAGAATTAAATATCATTAAGCAAATAGCAGTAAACAATGGGTACAATGAACAAAAAATAATATTTGAAATCAAAAACTACACAAGAAACTCCTGAAATTAGTATTTCCACCACCAGAGAAAAAACTCAGTACCTTCTGCTCAATTACATATACAGACAAAATAACAAAAATAGCCAAACATAAAAAAAGAAAGAAATAACACCAGCTTTTAGAACAAACAACAACTTAGGCAAATATATTAAAAACAACAAGAGCCAAAATAAAAAGTACTTACACAGTGGTGTATAAAAACTTACATTGGTCAAACTGGTAGAACCTTTAACAAACATATAGCAGAACATAAAAGGGCTTTTAATAATAGGAAAACAGATTCTATATACGCACTTCACCTTCTAGATCATAATCATTCTTTTAATAAGAATTAATGGGAAAATCACAACAGTTAGCTGTATACCATAGTTAAAAACTTATACAGAAATAAAAAACTTCAAAATTTGTATATTGGTATATTTTAAATGTTTTCGATCTAGCTCAGATCAACCTCAGTGCCTTCTGTGGGTACTTGTAGCTAATACTAAAATTGCAGTGGAAACACCAATATATGGTTTACATATTTAAATTTAAATAATAATGCGACCAGAGGTCGATGACAATGGTTGTAAATGTGAATACTTACAGAGCAACCTGTTGCATTGCTCGACTTAAACATGTGATTCTTGTTAGTTAAAACGACACAGACCAACTGGTTGAGGTGACAGGAAGTACAATTCAGGAAGACAGCAACATGACAAGGTAGTAGTAGATTTTTCGGTATGATCAGAAACTAATGTAATTTTTATAAATTAAATTTATTTAAATAATATTATTTATTGTCTTAATCTGCAAATCTTATCTCTATTATTGAAGAAACAAGTAAGTCATTAAATTAGTGAAAATAATCATTGAGGTTGAATCTATGACATCATAAGTAGTATGAAAATTGATTCAGTTAGAAAATGAAAGGTGATGTTATGCTGTACACAGAATAATGTAAGAAATAATATAAAAAGTAATATATAGTAAAAGATTAAGCTGAAATCCAATAAAATAAATTGAAGGCAAAAATTGATTGGGTATTGGTGGTTGCCTAATGACGGTAAGAGAACCTAGTGTGTAACCATCTGTAAGTTTAGAAAATTAAATTGTAAAATACAATATGTCTATTAAAAAAAATTATGTGATGATATGATAACGGGACATAGAATTCTAGTTATTATTATATGTGTAATATTTATAAGTAGCAATATAATATTACCCTGTAGTGAGGTATATTTAAATAAATATAAATGAAGCTGAGCTAAAATTAATGATAATATCAATATTAGAAAGGAGGAAATGTGAAAAGTTGGTTGAATAACATGAGATAGCCAAAAGGAATTGAAGACTTTGTTGTTGTGAATGGCATGAATAAAGTTAGATAGTTAAAACATATGAGTGGATAACCAGACAGAATGTGTGTGAATGTGCATTAGAGAAAGAATAAAATAATAGAGATGATGTGTTGAGTTATCAGTGACGAGATTAGATTAACTGCTTATCTGAGTTGGTTAAGTGAAATGTTGTATAGTGTAGGTGGTAATGGAGTCAACAGATTGAAAGTGTCGAATGGAGGGGTAAAGATTGATGATCAAGAACAAGTCACAGCACAATAAGTAAGGTGACCCAAGAAGTAAGAGACATGAAGAAAGAAAATGTAGCAGAGTGAGTAGGAAAAAGACTGAAAGGGGGATGAGAAATAAAGAAAGAAACTGCGATGGGATAAGATAGTGAAAGTGGGAGGGAGGAGGTGAGATTAGTGAGGAAGTATGTTAGATAAATGTTAGATGCTAGTGGGGTGGTTGGAAATGAGGGAAAACAGTAGTAAAAAAGAGAAGAAAGGAAATTTAAAGATAATTATTAAAATGATGATTTGTATTAAGGGAATAGTTGTCAGTGTATGGAAGTAAAAGGTCAATTTAGGGTAGTTTGGTGGTTAACACAATTGGGTCTAGTCCTCATGTCTCTGGAAATCTCAAAGTCTTCATACAAATCCAACCACAAAGTGTTCCTATCTTGGACGTTGTGAATAATTTGGTACTGTCAGGGATGTTAAGATCATGATTGTTAACTTTAAGATGATGAGAAAAGGCTGATGCATTATCTGTTTTAAAGTGTTCTGCACATATAGTTGAGAATGACCTCCCACCAATGAAGGAGGCATTGCAATCAGAACAAATCAGTCTGTAAACTACACTATGGTTCATATAGGATATTGTATCTTTAGTATTTGTCAAGTAATGGTTAAGAGTATTTCCAACTTTAAAAGATATGTGTGTGTTATAATATGTATCGTCTTTTCAGATAATGTGGAGATGTGATATGGTAAAGACCTATAAATTGGGATAGAAGAAGAAGCTTGATTAAAAGCAGAATATTGAAGCAATTTGGATTCTCTTTTACTGATTAGTTTCTTCTTTTTCTTCTTATCCTTCCATTGTCCATGTTTGGACATAGGCCACTCCCCACTCCTTCCATGGGTCTCTATCCTGAGCAACATATTTCCAATTTTTTCAGGCTATTCTTTTAAAGTCAGGATTAACAAATTATTTTTTCTATTATAAAAGGAACATAACCATTGTTGACAACTATTTATTTTATGACATTGAGTTTTTTATTAAAGGAGTCAGTTGACATAGGTATATTAAACCAATATACAAATTTTGAAGTTTTTTACATGTGTATAAGTTCATTCTTTTAATGACGAATTTCAATTTCTTCACATCCAAAATAAAGGCCTTAAGCTGTCTTTATTAGAATCTATGGAAATTAACAAATTAAAAAATACAGACATAATTCTGAATGACTAACTTGTGACAAACAGTTCTCTCCTCAACCTATTTCATTGAAGACTATAAATTATAAACACATCCTAAAATAGATCACTTGAAAAAGGCACTCTGTCGAAACAGCTGTAGTGATAAGATATTATAATACATTTTGTAGAAGTTTTGAAAAAAAAGTTTTCAGTGTTTTATTGTTATATAATAAATAGTATTTAATACCATAAAAGTCCTGTAAAAAAATAGATATGTGGAAAAATTTGCAACAACAAAAATTTACTTACTTATATCAGAAATTACAACTGTGTTATCTAAAGCTACATGAATTGCTAATCTACTCCATTCATCATATTTTACCAGTTTCCTGAAAAATAATATTAATATCATTAAAACCAGTCAGATCTAAGAAGAGAAGAATAATTCACCAATTTAATAAATCAGTATATCCAGTTTATTATGCCAAATAGAGACTGTAATTATGATAAAAAATAAATAGATGTACAGATAATTATTAGAAACAATTAAAAAAATATACAGAAGTTTACAAAAAATTTAAGCTTTTTTTTTCAAATCCTACTTAAATACAGGTATCGACAACAAAAAAAGGAGGTTAGTCTTCGTAAATGGGTATATTTATTTAAAAAACCCTTAAAAGGGTTACATAAAAAAAACAAACGTTTTCGGACTAAACAGTCCATCATCAGGTTTAAAATTGCTAGGTTAAAATGCCTGAGCCACCAAAATACCAGTTCAATTTAATATTTAACATCACATTTTAATAACAACAATATGTACAATCTTTAATAACTACATAAAGGTAATTTAAAAGGTTTTTACCCTGGTATTTTGGTGGCTCAGGCATTTTAACCTAGCAATTTTAAACCTGATGATGGACTGTTTAGTCTGAAAACGTTTGTTTTTTTGATGTAGCCCTTTTAAGGTTTTTTTAAATAAATATACCCATTTATGAAGACTAACCTCTTTTTTGTGATACGTGGTATACAGCCAGCTACAGGAATTGTTTTCCTTGTGGATTTTATTTTAACAAAAAAAAGCTGAACATAATTAAATTAAATTAAACTAGAAATTTTTGAGTAACCTTTGTCTTGCAGAGGATGTAATGAAATGAGATGTAAAAACATAAATACTATTATAAGAGATTACATAAATTGTCTGGCCTAGTATTTAGTGAAGTGCTATTTAGAAGTAGCTATACTACAGTCCTTAGAAAATTAATATGCATCACCTGTGTTCTACTGTAGAATGAAAATACAAACACAAAAAGATATCATATTTTCTCTAGCCAACCTAAGGCTAAGCAATCACACAGCTACGAAACGATATCTTATACACTGTACACATTTTTATCTACACCTCCAAGTTAATTAATAAATGAAGACTTACTTAAGAACTTGTGCAATAGTATTGGGTCCAAACCACTCCCCCACTTGTTTGCCTAGAGATGCCCCCATCAGAGCTATTTGGTGTATGGAATAAGGAGCTTGCCGACGATCTTCGAACTTCTTGAGAATCTTTAAATATGTTAAATCCTTGGATTGAGGATCCCATAGCCAATCTCTTCCCAAGTGTAGAGATACTAAAGCTTGTGCCAGGACCATTTGTCCACATCTTAACATACAACCCCATCCTTTATCTGATGTAAGCCCTTCATTGCCTCCTATCGGAATGAAGTTTTTTCTGTAGGTGACCCATAGTCTCGAAACTATGTCTTGTCTTATTTTGTTGATATCTATAATGAAACTCAATTAGTAAAGTGATATTTTTAATTGTATTCATTATGAAGAAGATAAAACACAATAAAAAATCTACAAAAAATCAGTTAAGTAAAACATGTCATAAATGACTTGATATAATTAAAAATAAGTGACCATGGCTTCTACCAGATAGTTATATATCTCTTCTTCAGATTTAACTTGACCTATAACTGACTGTCTATAAATTTAATCATTCATCCATACCTATAAATGCTTATCTTGGAATATTTATCTATAGATAGATGACCCATATTAATAATTTTTTGTCATTTATTTAAGATATGTCTTTGGGAGCGTTTTGTTTAAATAACCTATTACATAAATCACACTTTACTCACCTTGAACAGCGTTGTACCTTTTTCCAAGTATCCATACTGGCTCAGTTGTTTTTGGGATATCATCTGGTTCCAGTGTTGCTTCTAAACAAGCTTCAAACATACAATCCATTATATCTCTTGTAGCCACACACATTTATTATTCTAATTCAATTTCTCTTATACGTAAAGAATTTATTTCTTATGCATTTGGAAGTTATTGTTAAATCTCATTGTTTTTATTTTAACAATTCATACGTCATTTTTAATTTATTTAGACAATTTTGACAGTGACTGCAACTTCGATCGTTCCAAATATCGAATGATGATGAGTCGGTTATCGTATCGATGATTTTTATCATTTTAGTATCAGATTAAAACATTAAATTCAGGCCGGATCATTAGATATGCGAGGCTGTCAAATCAGGGCTTACTTATAATATTAACAATAGTGGACCTTTATGGGGAAGAAAAAACGATTAAATTACTGACAAATATTTTGTTTAGAAAACTAAGACATGCTTTAGTACACAAATATAAATTTAGATTAACTTTAATAAGATAACAAAATTCAATTATGATAACCAAAAATCAGAAGAAATGTTTTGAAATTTGACAGCTATCGATACTGTATGACGTCATTAGCAACTGATGTAAAGTTAGCAACAATGCTGTCTACGTCACAGTGGCGTAGGTAATTTAAAAAATTTTTAATTAATATTAATTTGGGGTTTTATCTTGTTTAAAATAAAAACATTAGTATAATTATAAAATTTATTTCACAGATATTACAAAGAAAAATCAACTTCTCAAACAATAATTATTGGCACTACAATCTTAATTTGTACACAACAATCATTAACAAAACAAGATTGGCACTATTTAACAATGAAATGAGATAAAAAAACAAACACATTTTGTTTACTAACATGTAAAACATTAAGTAATATCACAACCCAGCAAGTGCATATGAGTATTTTTCAGTATCGGTACTGTTAATAATTTTGCAGTGATAATCAGGTGTATTAATAATTTTCCAGTTTTTATTAAGAATTAAATAATCAGGAAATATAGCATCGTTTGTAAGAAAACAAGGAAATAACATTTTTAAATTGCTTTTAAACTACATACACAGAAGATTGGCAAATTTAAGTATACAGCCAAATCTATAAAAGTTTGCTCTAAACATTTTGTCATAACTTTTATATAATGCAAAAAACACTTAAGTATTCGATTGATGTCCTGCTAAATAGATTAGTGAACAAAATTAAATAATGTACAAAAAATTGGGAGGTGTCCCACACAAATTTAAAACTTATGAATGTAAAAAACATTTGTCTTTAAAAATTCTACAGTAAGGTATTTAATGTAATAAAGCTAGTAATAAATGAGCCAAATCTTTACAACAGCTTTGTTAGGTTACTATTCATGATGCACTAGCAGTAAACTTACTAAAGCCATAGTCCTTAAAATTGATTATGATGACAGTTATGTTATCAGTGGACCCTCTATAGTAAGATTGTAAAGCCAAACTTTTAGCACCATAATCTGGTTCATTCAATCTTTCTTTAATAAAACTTACTGCCTCTTCATTGGAAAATGTATCCCATAAGCCATCAGTTGCCAAAATAAGAAACAAAGGTTTGTGATCATGTAAATCAAAGGTTAATATATCAGGTTCAGCAATTACAAGCTTCTTATCTTTAAGTGGGTAATCTCCCAATGCTCTAGATGTAGCTAGAATGCCAGCCACACGCCAGACCCCGTTAAAAGACACAAACCCCCCAGCTGCCTTGATTCTTTTACGCTCCCTCATCTGTTGAGGTTTGTGATCAAAGGATAATGGAATAGCATTTCCTTTTGAATCACACATTACCCCTCTAGAGTCGCCAACATTCGCTACTATCAGTCTATTACCTTCTAATATGGCTATTAATGCTGTAGTACCTGCAACATCCAAACTTTTCTTTGCTATCTCTAGTAGTCTCTCATCTGCAGCTAATACCTCATCTGTTAGTAATTTTTCATAATTTACAATCCCATATTTATCAAAATAATTATTAACAGGCACCTTTTTAAAACTTGGGGTTGTTTTCAGGGGCTTTGAAGATTTTGATATAGGCTTTATGCTATCTAATTTTGATAACAATTGTAAGTCTGTTATTTCTTTAGTTCCTTCAATACATTCATCTGTGGTTGAATTGGTCCTTCTAAAGCTTTTCCTGCGCTGAGCAAGAGTAGGAGTGACTGGCTTTTCAGGATCTTTTTTCTCCTCCTCCTTTTCTTCCTCAGATACTACCCTTTTTGTTGAATCCCCGGATATTATACCTTTAATTTCTATGACTTTATTAAATAAGTTTTGCATAAGTTTTTCTTTAGCATATGTAGCAGCAAATTCTCCCCCATGCCCATCAAACACAGCAAATAATGCAACCCCTGTATTACTGATATTATCATTTATTACAAACCTGTCTTCCATTTTTGGTCGTCTCCCCTGTAGAGCATAAGCTGCAATGGTACCTACCTTCATCTCCCAACTGGATTTTTCAATGTTTACATTACTGAAAAAGCTGAGCTTCTCAATTTTGGATTTGCTTGTTGCTTTACCAATACTATACTGGAACTTCCCCAATAAAGTTCGACTCCATTCATCTACAGCCTGAATATATATGAATATGAAAAATATCATTACACCAAAAATCAAAAATTCTGGCTTGAAGATGTACATTTTCAGCTGCCTCCAAATGTGTGAAGAGAATGTTATGTGAGAAAGTTTTAAGGGAACAGTCCATGATACTCGTGACATGATTTTCATATGTGAAACGTATGTTTGATAAAATATTTTATCGTCTAGTTCGTCTTCCATCTTACAAATCTTTGAAGATATTGTAACATAGGTCGCAGATATTCAGGACAGCATTTTCGTCAGTGAATCTAAAATCATATCACAACAAACTAAAATTAGATTAAATCAGAAAAACATATTTTTAAAATGCATAAAACATATCCATAAAAATAATATATGTAGTAATATTATAATAAATACATAATAATAAAATGTATATATTTTTTTAAAATAACCTTAACTTTGGATAATGCATTAAAAATGTACAAAAACTAAATTATTTTAAGGTGTAAGGACACCTTTTCCTCAAGAAAAGCTGTAGAACCTTTAACGTGCAAGTCCAACAAAATTAAGTGCAATTATGACAGCCCCAATATTCATATATTGATAAATAATTATTTAAATTGATAAACATTTTGTTTAAAATTTTATATTTTCATTAATGTATTTTCAACAAAATATGGATTATTACATAAAACAATATCGCCAATATACTTACTTATATTAAGATTAAGGTTAATTCTAAATTCTACCATCCAATTAAATTCATAAAATATACCAACTATGGCAAAATATATTTACATTATTGGTTTTTTTTCTGTTAAAATACGCAAAGTAATGTTATTTAGCACATGATAACCCAAAGCAAATCTTCTAATATTGACACTTGACACTTTCGTCGATTAATGACGTAACTTGTAAACGGTTCGTTAAAAGTTAATTAAGGGCTTTTTGTTTATTTAAACACACAAATAAACTTAGCCACATTTTATTTTTTCAACGTAAACATTCATTATCGTTATTTGTAAAACATACATCAAATTTGTAATGCATGTTTTGTAAAGTTGGTCCCAAAATTTTTGTTTTTGCGACTGTATTTTGGTACTGCAATGCCTTGAAAATGTTCGGTCAATTGTAATTGTGGAAAATGTAAGAAAAATGGGTGTAAATAATGTGAAATATACGATTATAAAATAGTCTATTAGTGGTAATTATGAGTGAAAGGAAATTTACTCGTGGATTGACCAAGCCCGGAACTGCGGCTCAACTTAGAGAAACTGTCTCACAAGTAGTTAGGGAAAGCGCTGTGCAAGTAAGTGAAAGCCTTCTGAAAAATACTTTAAAAACTATTTGTCTACATACATTTATATTGACGAAAGCCATTATAGGTTAAATTTTGAGTTCAGCTATGATGTTCTATTTTTAAGCAATTATTTTTATTCCTTTTAGTGTTACACCCACTTCCATTGGTGCACTGATTTTCAAAATATACACTTTGGTGTTTAAAAGAATAGACTGGTAAAGGATATAAATAAGTACGACTGTATAGTCGATTATGTGTGATCTCTAGGAACTAGATGTTAAAATCAAAACAATTTTTTTGGCACAAGTTCCAACCATGTTCCAATTAATTTTATGTATTTAGGAAATTATTTCATGTAGTCACACCAGTTTTATCTTTATACAAACATTATCAGTTTAAAAACAAGAATATCAATTTTGTAAAATATGAGATAATTGATAATACCAAAAATTTTCCAAATTATTTTTTCAAGGTGATACAAAATCTTGTTTTATTAGTAAATTTATATACTTGCTGTGCAGTTCTACACATTTTAAACATATATCTAAGAACAATACATAGTTTGCACAAAATAGGAAGGCAATATAAACTTGCACATTCTATTAATTTATCATAGTTTGTGATTATATTTATTTTTCAAGTAACACAGCATATATAGAGCCTTAGTTGACCAGCAAATATTCATACAGGAGATTTTGGTTGCATATGATAGCAATAAAAGTTAAGAATAACAATTGTAGACAACTTTGACATTCACATTACAAAATTAGTAAGAATGTTATAGGGTGTTCGAAAACCTAGTGGCAGACCAAACTTAAGGTTTTTTTTAACGAAACCCACTGCATTTTATTTTATAGTAGAAATATTCTTCACTTCCCCATTACAACAATATAGAATTTTATTGCTATACAGGGTTTTTACGAAGTTACCAATTTACAATGAAAATCATAACAAGTTTAATTCCCTTTATAATTAAAAAGAAGTAGAATAAAAATGATTTATTGAGGCCACATTTTTTTATGGACTGTCAAAATATTCAAAAATGATTGATATTGCTAATTTTCTTTATATCGAATATAGGGTGAGTCAAAAAAAGAAAAGAAAAGAAAGAAAAATAATTTATTATTATACAAAAAAAAACACAAACACAAAATACAACATTTATGGAAAAATTCAAAACTACTTTTAACAGTGGCGGCTAATGGCTTTAGAGACAAGGTCGGCAAGATATTTGTCTCCTCAGATAGGTATACCGTCTAATCAAGACTTCAATCATCTTAAGAGATTTTTTGTTTTTTTTTTGTTATTTCCTATAAATTTAAAACCTAAACATGTTTATAAATTAAATCTAGTCTATATTATTTGGAAGTAGCAAAATGGGTAATAATGTCATCATAAAATTTATTAGAGTTTTGGAGAGATTTTAAAAGTTTTTTTTCTATTGACATTTGAGACAAGCTTGATTGACATTCTCTCTTGTTTCATGGTGTTTCGACAATATGTTTTGATTCGTTTGAGACAAGAGAAATCTCATTGGTGGTAATGAGAGAATTAATGACAATAATTTATTAATTTTGGTAACAGTTTGTTGTAATGAATTGCAGTATATAAAATTATACATATCTTGTAACTTATTCCACCTTCCGAAAATATTTGGATTAGCATATAAAACTTTTAATTCACTTTCTAATTTTATTTTATTAAACAATGATAGATAATTTTTAATTAACCTGTCTAATAAATATCTTGAAATTCTTTGGCGTAACTTTTAAATTTTGAATCGTCAAAGAGGTAAAACTGAGTGATTACTTTTTACAATTTCGTTATGTTTAATAGCATTTTCACGTTGGGCATAATCTAATGAAACATAGTTATTTTGTTTTCCAAATAAATCTAACTTAATCTGGCTGTATGTATGATCTTTCGAAATATCATGTTTATGTAAAGCCCTAAATAATTTCTTTAAATTATTGTAACTAGATTCACATCAAGGATTTTAATGTTTGCCCCTATTTGTCGAAAATAAAATGCAAGGCATACAGAAAAGTTGTTTGGTTTTTATTTCACTCCCGGTAAGCCATGAGTACTTCCTGTACCAATTATCTGAAAATGATCTATTACTTCCCGTACCCCCCTTAGTAATATTTATAAGCCAGGACATTTTAGGCAAAGGGCGCCCCTTATTTTTAATAATATTTTGTTCTTCATATCGAATATATGAAAACCCATTTTGCAAACTATAATTTACAATATCAGATTTATCAAATTCTTAGTTTCTCCCATAGCTTGCATTTTTTAGGTTAATTTACCTTGGGGTGCTGCTATAACGTCATTAGGTGCTGCAGTCTACTTTGACTGTCGTTTGAAGATTTCCCACTCCCAAGAAAAAAAAAAGAAAAAAAAATTTACCTGAATTTGTTTATACTTTAATTTAAATAAAAATTTCTAATATATCAAAAACCCTTTAACCTATAACTATTTACGGCAGACGTAACATATCACAGTACTTTAGAAAATAAAAATAAATCTCAGAAAGAAAAGCTACTTCGTGCACTCAATATCACTTCAGTACTTAAGTTGTTAAGTACTTATCTATCCAGAAATAACATTTCATCCCGCACTCACAAGGTACAGTTTGCGACCAATCACCAATCTAAATGCGTACTTGGTAATTAAATTCATATGGAAAGAAATGTAGGTTTGGTTGCTCATCAACTAATATTCCGTTGATTTTTACATGTAAATTGTCAAGATTGTGATCGACTTGCCGAAAACCCAAAACGTGTCTGTTTAAGAATTTACACAGGTGGATGGTAGTCTTCGATTTCGGATCATTAATTTGAAAAGTGCCTTACACAGGAATCACTTAACACTCAGATTGGATAAATTCTTTTAAAAACCATGAATAAAATTTAGTCTTTATTACCTCACAGATATTTTTTTTATTTCACAGAAACAAATGACATCAACTGATTACCTGCCACAATAAATTATAGAAATACTGATTAAATTAAATATTAAAAAAAATCTGTAATATCGATAAAGGTGTGGGTCAGCACTGCCGACCCTGACCAGCCGCCACTGACTTTTAATAAAATATTTAAATATTTTTAATATTTAATTACATAAGATGTTCAAAATAACCTCCTAAAACACTTATGCAGGCCTGAAAATGGTTGTTAAATGAGTATCTTACATTATGAAGCAGTTGTACACTAACACTTTGAAATACATTTTATATTGTATCTTTGATCTCATCCATTTTTGTTGGATGAATTTATAAACTTCATTCTTAACGTCACCTCAAAAAAATGAGTCAATTTTATTAAATTCTGGTGGTCTGGGTGGCCATGCTACTGGTCTATTTCTTCCAATCCATCTATCAGAAAACTGATTGTCAAGTTCACCTTGAATCAATGCATTATGGTAAACAGGAGTACTGTCATTCAAAAACCACATGTATGTCAATAATCTTCATATTATTTTTCCTGACCCAAACGCATGCAATTATATGTTGTTCATACAGTGCCAACAGGATCGGGTGGTTGTTTTGAGTGAGAACATAGATTTTCTTGTAGAAATATCGTGAAAAGGTGGTTATAATTAGAATTTTGATGATTCAGATAAAAAATTAATTAGTAAAACACAATTTTTTGGTAACATTTATGTTTTTTAACCTTTTATCCTACATATTATGTATCCCACAAACATGAAGTATCATGTTTACAGACAAAATAGATAAAAGTAAAATGGTTTGCAATTAAATTGTGTATAAAATATGCTTGTGAAATTGGTAAAAAAAATTCCAGTGAATAAAAGTGGCAATCCACAAAAAGGCAACATTTTGGAAGTTTGCATTATAGGAAGTTGGAAATCTTTCTAAGTTTTTAAAATTTATTTTTAAAAATTTAAGAAAAATTAAGCGAAGAAAAATTCAATACATTTTTTTATGTTTTTGTACATTTTTTTACATATAAAAGACTAAAGACATTTACAAACCTGTTTTGAAAAATGAAAATGAGATTAGGTAATATGATAATTAGGTTGCTTAGGAAATTTTCAAAATTATTCTTAATGTTTTTACAGAATAAACCTCATAGGATAGAACCTCTGGATTTTGAAAAACTTCTAATTCAAAACAAAACAGTCCTTCAAAATGATCCAGAGAGAGAATTGCTGCTGCATCCTCCAGATGACATTTCTGTAAGTAAAACATTATTTGTTAAATAAATAAAAAAATATTGGTATTTTCTTTAATAATTGTTTGACTTAGTAGAATAGTAATAACAATATGCATTGTTGTAAATATGAGGGTAATTTAATATTAATCAATATCACTTTCAACATAAAGTTTTTAACTAGCAATAGCCACTGTTTTTTGGGTCATAAGAGGTATTGTTCACATTGATTAGTTTCCCAGCTGAAATTAAAGAGTTGGTAGCTCAAAAAAGGAAAGCTAGGACCAAATGGCACCAAACTCATGCCTCAGCAGACAAGACTACATTAAACAGGTTAAGCAATAAACTAAAATCCAAACTTAAAGAGGCACAAGAATTGTCATTTACAAACTATATAACAAATCTAAACCAGTATGATAACTCAATATGAAAACCGATCAAAAACTCCAAAAACCCCAAGACTCTGGTATCTCCAATTAGAAACGAACAGGGACCAACACTAGTGTGAGCCAGAAGTGATGAAGAAAAAACAACGCTATATGCCGAGCACCTAGCTCAAGTAATTACTCCCAACAACGACGTTCCAGATATTGAAATTGAAGTGGACATAAATAATATTCCAGAGAACATACCAGTAATCAGACCACTAACCAAAAATGGAGTTCAACAAGAAATCCAATATTTAAACATTAGAAAAGCTCCTGGGCTGGACAAAATAACACCCAAGATGATGAAGGAACTACCAAATAAAGGAATCATACTGATTACTCTCATCTTCAATGCTATTCTACGATTAAACTACTGGCGAAAACACTCAACAATACAGCAGGTTCATAGAATAGTACACACCATAAATTCTGCAATGGAAAGCAAACACTACTGCACAGCTGCTTTTCTAGATATTAGTCAAGCCTTTGATAAGGTTTGGCTCACAGGCCTGGTTTTCAAAATCAAGAAATATTTACCCATCACATACCTGAAACTGTTAAAATCCTATCTGAGTGGGAGAGAATTCCGAACAAGAGTGAATGAAAGTAATTCCAATAATTTTTCTATAAAATCTAGTATTCCACAGGGCAGCGTTCTTGGACCAATATTATATGTCCTATACACATCAGATCTACCCTCCACTAATGATCACTGGCACGTTTGCAGATGACGCTAAAGATTGTGTCATAATAAATAAAAAAAAAGGGATTGGTGCGTACCATACAGGTTTTTTGGATCATTTTCATTTGATGACTTTAGCAAATGATATCCCTGTTTGCCAAAAAAGTTTTCTTTCATCAAGATAACACAAGTGCTCACAAGGAATATAAATTGGTCTTAGAAGAGTCTGCTTTACAATGAACTAGGGCAGAATTTTACACTATTTTGAGGACCTAAACTAAATTAATTTTTTGAATATACATATAACAAAAATGAGATAATGGCCTTAACAAGTATATAGGGCATAAAAGGGGGCTCTGTTGAAGAATAAATGAAAAATAATAAAAATCGTTTCTGTTTATATTAATATTAAATATGGTAATTATGGAAGTAGTATAATTTTTAAATTTATGCTATCTACTTAGATTTCTTAAAATGGATTTAGGTCACTATATTTTAGATCTATTATCACAATATTTATAATGTTAATTATTTGTATGAAATGATTTTTTGAGTTACTGTTGTTTCTTCTAGCAAGTTATTTTACCAAGAAGATTGCGTACATTATCTGAGGCGTTCCCTTCAGAAAACGAAACTGAAAAGTGTAATTTACTTACCAAACAATGCATCAAGAATTATTCCTGCAGTTGGAACTTAATTCATTATAAATACAATGCGTACTCTGGCAGTTATGCAGACCTTCCTTTGAAACCCCAAGAAAACAAGCTGCAAGAACAAACCTACGAGATCGACATTGATACAGATGCAGTAGACGATTTGAAGCCAAGATTAGACAATATTACCAAGGAAGGGTTTCTGCTGAAAGGGCCGGAAATAGGATCGGAAAAGTCTTTCGTTAATATCGGCTCAAAAAGTTTCAAACGGAGGTATTGTTATTTGCGACAGGAAGTAGATGGGACGTACATTTTAGAGATGTATAAGGATGAGAAGAAAGGGGAAGCAAAATTGACAATTGTTATGGATTTTTGTACGGATGTTGTTAAGGTAAGTGTACATATAGACTAGGAAGGATCTGTAAAAAATCGACTAAATTTGGGTGGGAGAGGTGGCATTCGGATTTTTGCAAAAATAGTCAGGTAATAGTGTATAATTTCAATTGCATAAAGTATATTAGATATATCAAGATAACCAAGCTTATATTAAGGTTGGAAACCAAATTTCCAAGGGTTTCACCCAAACAAAGGGTGTCAAACAGGGCTCTTGCCTCTCCCCAACGCTATTTAAAATATATCTTGGTAATGCTTTAAAACATTGGATGAGAAAATGCAGCCCAATGGGCATATGGGTAAATGACACTCCTATATACACAATCCTCTTCGCAGACGACCAGGTAGTTCTTGCCGAGGACCTACAAGATATGACGTACATGATAAACAAACTAATAGACGAATTCAAAAAATGGGGATTAGAGGTTAATACCGAAAAGACACAATACATGAATATAGGAGGCATCGGTCAAGACATGGAAACAGAAAGCGGATTAATTAAAAACGTTGATCAGTACGAATATCTCGGAGTTACACTAAGCGAAGACGGGAGAGACGACAAAGATATAACAAGAAAAATAGGAAAAGGAAAAAAACATGATAAAAACACTACATCCGATCCTGTGGAATAAAACTTTAACTAAGAAAACAAAGAAAAATATATATCACGCTATGATTCAGCCGGTGCTGACGTATGGGTCAGAAGTGTGGGTCTTTAACAATAATATGTCACAAAAACTCCTCTCAACGGAAATGATGTACTGGAGAAGATGTTCCGGGTTAACTTTGTTTGACCACATAAGAAATGAAAACATAAGAGAGAGAATGAAAGTAAAGAACACAATAATGGATACGATAGCCGAAAAACAATTAAAATGGTATGGACACCTGAGACGGATGAACGAAGAAAGGATACCACGAAAGGTTTGGAACTGGAGACCTACACAGAGAAATAAACGGGGAAGACCAAGAAAGAAATGGATATCCAATATTCATATAGAAATGGAAAATAGAGGTCTTCAAGAAGGAGACTGGGCCGATAAGAAATTATGGCGATTGGGATGCGAGAAGCGACAAAATTAAAGTTGCAAACACTCGCTATATATATATATATATATATATATATATATATATATATATATATATATATATATATATATATATATATTTTAACAGTAAGTTGGAAATATCGGGTATGTGGTCTATATTAAAATAAAAATCTTTGTTTTTTCTAAAACTCAATATTTCGCTCTTTATTTAAAAGCTTCATCAGGAGTAACTGTAAAAAACAAACATTTCAAAAAAAAAACTGACGTACACTAAGATTTACAATACTTACAGACTTAAAAGATTTCACACATAAATAAATTTGATATTAAAATAAACATGTTTTTGATAATATATCGATACCTTAATTCGCATATAGGCTAACTCCAATATCATGAATTTTACAGGAAGCAGAAAAATATGAATAAGATCTAATCCACAATAAGTTTTCGAATTTTGATCATTATTTCATTTGAATAATGTATTCTAAATTAGTGTCAATGTAAAACTAATAAAAACTGAAGACAAATTACAATTTTATCATTAATTTTTGGAGATAGCCTTTTTTCTAGGTAAAAATAAAAAACGGATTTGGAGTTAACCACTTTTATTGCATTAAAAGTAAATTAAAACTATACTGTAAAAAATACTTAATTTGTAACTTAGGTATAAAAAATAATTAGGCTTTGAAACAATTTTACTTATTCATGGGGTAGACTTGAATAAAAATTGTGGAAGTCTACCGCATGAATAAGTAAAATTGTGGAAGTCCACTGGAACAGTTCTTTTTGGTTCTTGTAGATCCATGTATTTTTTCTTCGTTATTTTTCGTCTCTCTATATACAAATTTGGTAACTGTAACACACTGCATTGTTGTATATTACTGTTTTTTCTTTGGGATAGATTTTCTTGTTCGGCGCTTTGTGCTGTTTTCGAAGGTTTGTTCAGATTATTGGCTTTCCAGAACCAAACACTAGTTTTTCCGATGCAAAGTGTATTTAGAAACAACGTCTCACACACCCTAATCATTTCCTCGCTGCTCTTAAGTTGATTAATCAACGTGCTTGTCCTTTTAGACTTCTCAGGATCTTTTCTATCTCTCGGTCACTTTGTAGGAATAACCTTTATAAGTCCGTCTATATACACTTTTTTTTCTTGCCATGTCATAGACCAAAACTTATCAAAAATTTGTTTCCTCGCTTCTTCCGATACAAGATGGCATTTTAATACACTGTTTACCTTTCTGATGCATTTACAACGAGGTTTAAGTTTCTTGTCTGGTTTTCTTATATTCTTTTTCCAAGTGGTACCAAGTTTTTTTCCATAGTATGCGAGTCCCTGTTCCCTTTGTTGCATATTTTTGTTACTTTGTCATTCTTGTGTATTTACTTCACAGCGCTTTTTTCTTTTGACTTTCAATTTTTCTGTTTCTAATTCAGATTCAGAATCACTGTAAGGAACTAGACATTTTAAGTCATTTTTTTGTTTTAAAATTTTATTGTGTACAGTGGGTGTCAGACGTTTTTAGGGTATGGGTATTTCTCCATCGTTACTATTTATGTCAAAATCGTGGGTACTGTTTTCAGGTAGTAATAATTGTATCTGCCTATCAGAGCTAAAGTTTGTTGGAACCTCATTATATTTAGATTCATCAGTTGGTTGCTTACATGATATTAGGGAAGTAAATTCATCTGTGCTATATTCAGAAGTTAACAAATTTACGTCTTCAATATCAACAGTACGGTCAATAATAAACTCTGGAAAATCAAAAGACAAAACTCGACTATTCGTGAATTTAAAATCTTCTATAGAATTATGATCATATGAAGAATTTTGACCATTTTCGTTTGTCAATACATTGTCCTGTTCATTTGCATTAACTGCAAGTTGGAGGATTATTTGTGCACGTGACATTATTCTGTAAGTAATAAGCAAGAATTAAAAATAATAGAAAAAGGCACACAATATTGAATACTATTCACATTGGTGTGTTTACATTTAAAATTACAAAATTTAAAAGTATAAAATACGATAAGTGGGTACTATAAATTATCTGAGTTTTACTACTTATTATATTTTATTAAATTTTCAAGTTAAATCATCATATTATTAGATAAAATTTACAGTTTTTTATTTAAAGTGATGCCAACAACAACCTCAACAGATAATTAGGATTTGTGGCTAACTCCACAATATATCAAATATATGACTTAGAAAAACGGATATCTCCACATACTAATTAAAGCAGTAAACTAGTGACTAAACGTATCTTTTTAATACAATATTGTTAGTACTTACCAAGTAAAAGCAATCCTTTCGCATAAACCAACAATATTTCAGCTAGAACACAAGTTTGAGACTAATAAACGAGACGAACAAACTACCACTGTTAACGGCAAGGTTGTACTGCCATTGTTATTACGGAGTTAGCCGATCAAAATCGACAACGCTGGAGTTGTTCGATTTTCCTACAGGCTGTTGTAAGGCAACGGCTTTTAATTTAGGAGTAATTCGTTTTGGAACGGGTAGGTAGTGTTACAAAGAATCAGTTTCAATAAAAAAGTCGATTTGACCAAAAAGTGGAGTTGGCCGATTTGCGAATTAAGGTATCGATATAAGTTTGTTAAAATGTAAATATATATGAGCACGTTCGTTAACGGTAAGTAAATGAGATGGAAACAACTAAAAATTATTTCATATATATATATATATATATATATATATATATATATATATATATATATATATATATATATATATTAGATATTGAACCGTTTTTAAATAAAACGAGCGATTCTAATTTATGTAAAACTATTTATTTACAAGTTTACAGCACGATAGTATCTTAACAACTAACTTAACTAATATCGGAGCTACTTATATATAAAAGTTATTATGTACTAGAATATTCTGGAGTCCACCTCTAATTCGCCTGCGTAACGGGTAGATTTCTCCCGCCTTTGATACATCTCTGGAAGCTTCTTGTCGTTTCGAAATGCAACCGTTATATGGGCGACATTGAATGCATGTTCGTAACACTGCTCCCCTCTTAGATCTGAGCGTCGCGATCATTAACTGTATATGTAGGCCTAGGGTGGTGGAATCTACAGGACTCTCCAGCTCTGCATGAACCCTTCAGAAAGAAATAACAGTCTACTGTCTTTGAACGACACGATCTCTTCGGATTAATGCAACACACAGTAATTCGTACGCCGGTTTCTCGGAATATCACTTCAAGCATGCTTCCGACAATCTTCCAATCCAGATTTTCTAGTGCATGTTCTATCATAATTGCGCACGATTTTCTCCAAATTAGTTAGAGCACGCCATATATCCTCGTAGCTTGTCCCGTCTGTATGGTCACCATATGCAGCAAAGATCGACAACCATCTTCTAATCTCAGTACTCTGCCAACTTTAGGCTGCTGATTTTTTAATTCGTCCAAACGACCGAATTTCTTATAAAAGACGAATGATATTCCTTTAGTCATTTCAAGATCTTGGGCAACACAGTGGGCTAGAGAGACGTTATGAGGAACACTAAAAAGATCCTGCTGAACTTCTGTGGCCACGCCGAATCTAGCACTCTTCCTCTCTGCGTAATTTGACATAAATTCATTTATTCAAGCTTGGTCGCCGGTCATCTTTGATCTCATGTTGAAAGGTTCGTGCTTCTTCTGTTTCATTTGAGCCAGCATAAGGTGCAAGACGATTTATGTGAACTGCTTTTGGTTTACCTTTCGGCAACTTCTTAATTCGGTAAAACGTTTTGGTAAAGGGTTGACTCGAAGTTTCGCCCTTGGTTGGACTGGATCTCCAAGGGAACACCAAATCGGCTAAAGAGTTCTTTAACAAGTACCTCTGCAACGATAGCAGCTTCTTAATTTGGTATCGCATAGACCTCAGTGCATTTCGTAAAATAACCCATGGCTACCAGGATATATTTATTTCCATCATTCGTCTCTGGAAGTGGACCTGCAATGTCGATTACTACTCTTTCCATAGGACTACCAACATTGTACTGTTTTTTAGGTGCCCTCTTTTTACCAACTGGACCATTACTGGTTGCATACAGATCAAATTTCCGACTCACATCTTCTTACATCATCTTTACAGTTCACCCAATAGAACCGTTCTCGAACCTTTTGCAGTCTTCGTAATACCAAAGTGTTCACCCGATGCACCATCATGCAACTGACGCAATACTTCTGACACTTTACTTTACACTTTACAATCACCTGAAGTTTAGTTTCTGTACCATCATCGTTCTCAAAGGTTCTATACAGAACATCATCTTTTAGCACTAGGCAATTCCATTGGCTCCAGTAACAGTTGACTTCTGGACTACATGCACTAATGTCTTGCCAAGAAGGTCTTTCACTTCGACGCATCCAATCCAATACTCTTTTTATACATGGATGATCTGCTTGAGCGTCTTGTAGCTGTTGAGGCTGCCATGTATTATTAATGACGGGGTTCGTCTCACGGAGCAAAACCGTTCTTCTTATTTAAGACAGTGATTATAATTTTCACTGCACGGTCGTCTCGAAAGAGCATTAGTATTAGAATGACTTTTTCCAGCCCAGTGGATCTGTTCTAGCTTTCTGACTGTTTTATTATTTTTTTGCAATTTACAGCGAATGTGACCAACGTTATCACCATTCCAACATCTGGATTCGCGTCTTTTCGGCATCGTGTTACGAACTACTTTTCGTACGATTTCCTCCAGACGTTTATCGTTTTGTTCGTCACTCTCTTCAGAGGTTTGTACTCGATAGCTCCTTGAAGCTTGACCAACTATTTCGTGTTCCAAGGCAATGGCGAGCGCTTCATCTAAAACTTTCGGTTTTGCTAGTCGTAAAGTTTTCTGTAGTTCACTGTCTCTCAACCCACTGATGAAGGTATCTTCAGCACTTTTTTCCAATATGTTGTCTGGTGCCTCTGGATAAGCCAACAGCGCTATACGAGCAACATCTGCTTCAAATTCTTGCAAACTCTCACTTGCTCGTTGAATTCTACTTCTTATTTGCACTTTGTAGACTTGTTGTAGATGGGCATCTCCGTAACGTTTATCTAGTCGAGTGAACAAGGTCTGGTAACATTTTTCTTGACCCTTAGGAATCAATCTTAGGATATCTTTTTTTTCTTGTTTGCCAATCATTGGACCATTCATTGGACCGAAAAAGAAACATCTTTTTCTTGTTCGGTCCAATGATTGGCTGTCGCAATAATTTTAAATTGTAAGGTATATGGACCAAGAAGACTTTCCATCAAATGGTGGCAATTTGAATCTCATATGATGTGAAGTTGAAAATGGAATGTCTCTGGGTAATCTCCATTCTTGTTGAGAACATTCTTTAGTCATTCTTGGAGGATCTTCTTGGACTCTTTACCATCTTCATCGCGTTCTTATAGTTGCTCACGCAACTGTTTTACTGAAAGTTGTACTAGCGGCATCTTTGGTCAGGCACAAACGTACTTTTTAAATGTTCTTTTTTTTTACAAACATCACTAATGAACTACGCGGATGTTACCGACGAACAATACTTTTCAAAAGTCTTTTTTTTAGCAGTCACTGCTGAATTTATTTTTAAATCTCACACCTGACACCACAGTACCGTTTTTAAATAAAACGAGCGGTTCTTAATTTATATAAATATATTTATTTATAAGTTTACAGCACGAAAATATCTTATCAACTAACTTAGCTAATATCGGAGCTACTTATATATAAAAGTTATTATGTACTAGAATATTCTGGGGTAGTCCATCTCTAGTTCGTTTGTTTATCGGGTCCAGCTTTTCCGCGCTCGATACATCTCTGGAAGCTTCTCGTCCGAGATCCAACCGTTTTATAGGCTACGTCGAATGCACGTTCGTAACAATATATAAAATGCGTTTTTGTAAAATTGGTAAACAATTTTGTAAAACAATTGGTAAACTATTATATGATCTAGTTTTTGTTGTGCAAGATTTTAAAACAATTCAACTTTTTTAAAAGAATTTCGATTGCAAAATTATTATGCGAAATCTGTTAAATCGATTTTAATGAAATTTAGAGAATTTTAATGAAATTTGTATTTATTGCTCTTTTGCAGTAATGGTAATAAATTAAAACATTTTAACCAGCCGTATCTTATAGAAAATTTAGTTGCCGCCATTTTGTTTCATTACGACATTGCTCTAAAATTAACTGTTTTAAAGTTATAAGTAAGGAAACTATTTCTGCAAAAATCCGAATGCTACCTCAAACGGATCCGCCCTAGTCTATTTTGTAGGTCGGTTTTTCGCAGATGATACATTTGACAATGTTTGCTAATTTCGAAGCTTTGAATTAATTACACTCAAATATCCATATGTTTTAGAACTTAAAACGGGGGAGATTTTGTTTTGAATTGAGGATGACTTCTGGGCACAAATCGTATGTATTAGCTTCAGAAAATGAGACAGATTTTAAAGATTGGCTCAGTAAATTAAGCTCAGTGGTCCAACAGAACAAAGTTCAAGAAGAAAACCGTGCAGCCTCTTTGGAAAGAGGTAAGTTTTTTAGTGTAAGTTTTTTAACTAACTATATGCTATACGAGCCCCTTCTCATATCAGTTGGCCCACCTATGGAATTTGCAGTTTAAGTCGATTACCATAAATAAAGTATACTCTGCATGTTTTTATAAGTTCTCATATTAATTAACATGGCATTTGTATTAATATTCATTAAAACATTGCCCTTATGGCTTTTTATTTATTTTCAACAATAAAAAAAATTCACTAAACCCAGACTAGCATTCACTTATGTAACTGGATTTTTTCATAATTACGTTAAATCCAGAGGTAGCTATGAAAAAATGACATCAAAACAATAATATTGTCAGTTAATGTCAAATATATTTTGTAGCATTGTAAAACTTTTTGCCGTTTGTGGATTGTACAATGGGTCGAGGTAAAGTTGTCGATGAGAAAATTCGTTCAATCTTTATTAGATTTTTTAATTCTAGAAAATCTAATTCGGAAATCGCGAATATATTGCAATTGTCACGCTATCAGGGGCGTGCGGTGTATGGAAGCAAGGGAAGCATATTTAACAAAAAATCATTTAAACCAACACACATATAAGCAGCCTTTTAAGCTGCATACAAGAATTATGTAGAACGAACAGCGAGCTCGTTTCGACCCTGCGCATGTCTTTAGCTTTCCTGTTCGTAATTCTACGTTGGAAGTCGGAGAGTTATGTCGGGATAATCCACGTTCAGAATTGCTTCTCCTGCCTTATGTAAAAATAACCCGGGTTGGGCACTGAGAAGCGAAGGTTAAGTTGACCGTATTTGTCGCTTTATAAGCAGCTGTGGCAATTGATTACGAAGTTTTGGCGAATTTAAATTTGGAGTTTTACAATGGCGTCTTCGTCGACTGATTTTGTGGAATCAGCTGTAGTGTGTAAATATGTAGTATGTTTGTTATTAGAGAAACGCTTTAGTTCGTTGAATTTTGGTGAAAAATGGAACATAATTAATCTTCTTCTTTAAGTTCCATCTTCTATCGAAGGTTGGAAATCATCATGGCTATGCGGACTCTGTTGACTGCCGCTCTAAAAAGTTCTGCACTATTGCATTCAAACCATTCCCTTAAGTTCTTAGCCAGGGTATTCTTCGTCTTCCCATATTTCGCTTTCCTCGGATTTTGCCCTGCATAATAAGTTGTAATAATGCGTATTTTTGCCCTCTCACCACATGTCCCAAGTACTCAAGTTTTCGTCTTTTAATAAATAGTTAATATTATTTCCGCCTCATTTCCTATCCTTCTAGTTACTTCCATGTTTGACATTCTTTGAATCCATGATATTCGTAGGATTCTTCTGTAACACCAAAATTCAAAGGCAGCCAGCTTATTCAGATGAACTTGTTTGAGTGTCCAAGCTTCCAGACCATAAAGAAGAGTGGAGAACACGTAACATCGAAGCATTCTCAGGCGTAGTTCTAACCTTATATCCCGACAACAAAGAAACTTTTTAAGTTTAATAAATGATGTACGTGCTATTTCAATACGTGTCTTAATTTCTTTGGTTTGGTCTACATCTGATGTTATCCATGTTCCTAGATATTTATAGTTATTAACCTTCTCAATTGTAGTATCTTCAATAGTCTGCAAAACTTCTCCATTGATAGATATACCTTCTATTGAGTCTGAGAGCGCTTCTTGAAATACCGCTTCACTGTAGACATTGAAAAGTAGTGGGAACAGCACGCAACCCTGGCGGACTCCTCTCTGTATTTTGATATTTTCGGTGTACTGGCTGTCAACTCTTACCTTGGCAGTTTGATTCCAATATAAATTAGATATAATTTTCAGATCACGACTGTCAATATTTTTGCTTTTTAATATATCTACAAGCTTTTTATGTTGAACTTTATCAAATGCCTTTTCAAAGTCTACAAAACATAAGTACATATCCTGATTCATGTCCATGCATCTCTGAGCTAGCACATTCAAGCCGAACAAAGCATCTCTTGTACTCATACCATTTCTAAAGCCAAATTGTGTGTCACTAATTTCATATTCAATGAGTCTTTTAAACAATGATGCTAGTGAATTGATTTTCACAAAAATGTTATGTAAGTGTGTGTCGTGACATTTAAAGCTATTGTTCTGTGGTCTGAGCAAGTTGTTGAACTTGGTTTTTTGGGAATTGCTACAAAGGTTGATTGCAGCCATTGTCTGGGGATTGTGGCAGTCTGATATATTAGATTAAAGAGTTCAACCATTACATCAATAACATCTTCATCGATGAGTTTTAATAATTCGATGGGCACCTCATCTGGTCCAGTAGCTTTACCCTCTTTTGTGTTTTTGATGGCATAGATGACTTCTTCTCTTAATATTGGTGGTCCAGTATCCTCGATGATTTCTAATGACAGTTCTTCTCTTTCATCATTAAATAGTTGTTGAATGTAATTGGTCCAGTGACATAATCTCTCCTTCATATCAGTAATAATATTTTTAAGGATATTCGTTTTTGTACGCTTTCTAGAACCTGTCATTTCTTTGATTTTTTTTGTGTATATTAAAGCTATCGTACTTTTTATCCAGATCTTCTATTTCCTTGCATCTATCGGAGAGCCACCTCTCTTTTGCCTCTCGAATTTTCTTTCTGATGTTTCTCTGAATTTCTTTGTATTTATTCAGGTCTTTTGCTTTATGTTTTCTTCGTTCTTCCATGAGTTCAAGAATTTCTACTGTCATCCAAGGTTTTGTTTTTTCTTTAAGTGGTTTGAGGGTTTCTTTCCAACTGACACGAGGGCATGTTGAATTTTTCCCCATTTTTGGTCAATAGTTAGAGTTTCTGCATTATCTTCTTTGACTTTCCTTAAGCTCTCGTTTATTTTAAATTTGGTTTCCACATATGTGTTGTCTTGTTTGAGACGTCTTGTATCTATGATTTTCTTGGTGCTAGGGCTGTTGTGGTCAACAAAACAACCGGGTTGTGGTCGGAGGATATGTCCGCTCCTGGATAAGTTTTAGATGATATTATAGATTTTTTTTTGATATTATAGAATTTTACATAACATAATTAATAAAGGTACTATATTATATTTACATGGCACGAATAGGGAAAACGATAATATTACAGCTTTCTTCGGTCAATAGTTTTAATATTTTTAAATCAACTGTTCTTTTCTTTTATTTTGTTTTATTTTTAATATTAAAACAATCGACCTAAAATAATAATAAAAATTACTATTATTATTAATAAAAATAATAAAATAATTGATAAAAGAAGCTGAGGTATTACTGTTTTTTTTTAATTAAATGTAGGTCGAAGCCTGAAATGAAAAATCTCACTACCAAAATAAAAACTTGTGTCCGACATTTTAATTCGGAAAAATCTTACGAACAATACGTGTGTGGCTAACTGGTTGTTTGCTCTTTGTGAATGAAAATATTGTTTGGAATCATAATGATTTTGGCGATTTAAACAATTTTCATAAGGTAGTGAAAAATTGCAAGAAATATGGGATTCGTTTACATTAGAATTTTGTCAGAACTTGGTAAAAACACGCCTCGAAGAATTGTGGATGTCATTAAAAATAAAGGGGATGTAATTCAGTGGTAAACTCTCATTTTTTTTGTTAATATTACACATTGTATGCGTTTTTTTAAATTTATTATTATTCTGTTTAATCAATTGTTTTCATTACGTTATAAAATATTTTCTATAATTAAGAAATTCAAAAATGTTGTTCGATTCATTAAAACTTTTAAATTTTACGATTTACTGAGCTTTTATTTTTGTTCTCTAAAACTTATCAATCTAACGTTGGGCCAACTGTTATGGGAAGGGGCTCGTATATGGTCTGTTAAAAGGTTATATGTAAGAATATCATTGAATTTATTTTCAGAACGAAGCACTCCGTCACCATTACCTCAAATACAACCCTGTGGAACATTAAAAGGGCTCGAACAAAGCATGAATCCACAATTAATGAAGTACGCGCGAGAGACTGATCATAGTATAGCAAGTTTAAGGAAAGAAAATCGCCATAAAATATTTGAGCTTCATCCGAATTACGCTTTGAGTGTCAAATCACAGAATTCTAGTCAAGAACAAGTAGCCCCCTACAGCGAAGTGTTTGGTTCCAGGGTATTTGTTAAATGTGAAAACATTAGGTAAGTGATATATTCGAATATATTCTCAAATGTATAAAATGCTTTTTTGTTATATTTTGGTAATTATTTAACAAATGGGTACGCCTCAAAAATGCCCAATTTTTTGGGGACTTAGCCAAAACAGTAAAGAAAATCTCAAATTTTGAAAAATTGCACAAAAATCAAGAAATATAAAATAATATCAAAAAATAATAACCAAAAAAAAATTCGTGAAAAGCCAATAAAAATATGTGTGTTTAAACTTCACTGAATGCACAGCACATTCCATACTTTCTTCAATGCTGAGCAAACAAAAAATGATTTAAAAATCCTTTTTCCAGTCAATATTTCAAACACAGTTGTCAAATTTAGACGTTTGTATAAATATTCCACATTTATAGTACACCTTAATGCAAAACATATATTTATCTTCATATCAAATTGTCTTTTATCATCTATATGGCAATGCCGTCATAGAGAAATTTTTCTCAAGGATAGAATGATATCATATTTTCCCTTGGTATCCCCTCCACATTCTTTATGCACGCCCATTAGTGAACGCCAGAATATTATTTCCGATCCAGCTTATACGTAAGAAACGGCGGCAGGGTTGCCTTATTACATATTTGCATTAAAACATTGAATTGATTTAAAAAATTGGCGATCAGTGGCGCGATTATATTGTCATTCAACACTGAATGATTATAATAAAGATAAAACATTAATTGACACAAATACGGGTCCAAAATTTCTTAAACCCATGATAAATTTACAGATTCGCATTTTTATTTGACGAAATTGTAACCCAATTTTGAATAAAACAAGATAATTTTGGCAACATCGCCATTCGTAACTTCTCTTGAATGGTAAATTGCATACGAGACAGGCCGAACGCTATGCTATGTATTTCTTTTTGGAGGTAACTTTGTATGTGTGAAGATAATAATTCAATATGCGGACTGTGTATACAACAGAAGAACAAAAACAAATAATAAAATGGTACTCTGGGGACAATTAAGTACAAGAAACTATCAATTCATTTATTATTGTTATTGAAAATAGGCCAACACCTAGAGAAAAAACTGTATTGGCCATTATTCATCATTTAAAAAGTTTAGAATTTCTAATTGTTTAGAATTATTTTTAATTTAAACAGTAGTGTTGGAATTATTTTTTATTTGATTTCATTTTTATAAAACTAATTTTTACTTTCACACCTACTACCTCCAAAAAATCGAAACGAAAATATGGTTTCAAAGATATTATTTGAAAAATACCAATAATATCCTATTTTTAATTAAAAGACGTAATTTTTCGTCCAGTTTAAATTTAATATAATAAACCTGCTCCTTCGTAATGCTTTACTAGTACTGACTGTCTTTGTTTATTATTCTTTATGAAAGACCAACCCACTATAAATCGTGCAACACGCATGACATAACAAACTAGTTCTGTTTTGAGTGTTTTTCTTGTTACTACAGTCTCCTTACTTTGACTACTCGACGTTGCCAAATAATTTTGTAAGAAGCTTTTTTATTGTGGTGTCATAATGCAGTTTATTTTAATTGCGAATAAGGCACAATGTGACTTTAAAATAAGCTTATCTTGATGTTTGGATTTTCAATTCGGAAATCGTACTTAAATACGAAACATTAATAAATTTTATTTATATACCACGATTTCCGAAGTGTTAACCAAAATGTTAAGTTAAACTTATTGTAAAGGAAAATTGTGGCATATTTCCAATAAAAAACAGTAAGCTGCCATTTAAATCAATTCGTCCAATGAGTAATACTATTGGAGGCAGTGTTGCCACTTTTTAAAACTTATTAGAAGAATAAATCCGTGACTTATCCATCCATATATATATTTTATAGGTTAAAATTACAAGTAGTTGATGATAAAGATAACCTTTGCCAAGTTGAGCCGTACCATACAACGTTGTGCCTATTCGATGCCAAAAATAATAGAAAACTGACTGAAAATTTCCATTTTGATGTAAACAGTAGCAACATTAGAAATACGTTCAATAACGGCATTAATAGTGAGACGAATAGCGTCAAGTTGGGACTTCCCCCAGATTTAAACTCCGAATGGTTGTTCTATCCTCGCCAAGCCCTCCTCAGCATTACGAATCCGCACCCGGATATCTTTCTAGTCGTTAGAATCGAGAAGGTTCTACAGGGGGGAATAGGGCCGACGTCGGAACCGTACGTTAAAGCCAATAAAGATCCGAAAGTTAGTCAAAAGTTTTATAGGAATATAGCGATGTGCTGTCAGAGACTCGGGAAGTACAGGATGCCGTTCGCTTGGGCCGCCAGGCCAGTTTTTAGGTAAGTTTAAGCTTTGTTGTGATTTAGACTAGCATTATTAAATCTTTTATGATCGTAATCATCGTTAAAGTTTATTTAAAATAATATTTTGTTTGTTATCTATCTCTTTTTTATTTGCTCTTTTCTATCACTGGTGTTTTTTTCTCTATTTGGTATATAAGTGCTGCTTTTTTATCCTTTTTTACTTCTAGTGTTCATTTTGGCTTGTTTTCATTCTTCCCTGTTCTTTTCTTTATAATATTTTACTCACATCCTTTTTCCGCACCTGTTTTTGTTCATCTACGAGGTGTGGATATTAAACAATCCTACTGGGTGGAAAAATTCGTACGAATTTTGCATGATCTAAGTCCGCTTTTATCATCTTTACTGTCAGCGCTTCCACACTCGTCAAAATATTGTCTCTTTATGCCTGGATTTTCCCTTTAGAAAATAAAAGTCACAGAGGAACAAGTCGGGCGAATACGTGGGTAGTCTAATAATTCTTGGTTTCTTTTGCTTTGGAATAAGAAGTTTTTACACCGTCTTAGCGCAAACTTTCTTACATATTCCTTACACTTTTTTCCCCTCCAAAATTTTGCGAAGATAAACGTTCAGTTTGGTACATCAAATTAGCTGCTATAGCGGTTTTTCGCTGATACAAGAAACTTGAGGTTAATTCGTCGCTCCATCTTAACACTCGCTAAACGAGCGATTAATACAGCGAGATAATAGCGTTTCGATGGTTTTTTCATTAGTTTTTCATCTCACTTCGTATATTTTCCAACTTCAAACTATATATTTTTGACGAATGCACATTTTTACTGTTGGTATTTGATAGAGGAAAAAGGACGTGAGTCAGTTGACAGGTGACAAATGAGTTGGCATATCCCGTAACAAAAAGTGTGACTTTCGGTCACAATTTTCGGACAACTTAGAAGATCTACAAGCTTCTATTCTATTCTTATCAACAATATCAGGGGCGTGCGGTGAAAATTTAAAACAAGGGAAGCAATTTATAAAAAAAAACTGTAAAAACTCGCCTATTTATAATGTAATTCAATTTTTCTACCATTTTTCGCAAACTCGTCTATAACTTCATTTAAAAACTTGGATATTATGACATTTCTTTAACCAGTTTATTTTCAATTGCCAAAAGGGAAACATTAGAGAGTCGAACTTGTCCTGTCGAGTTTCTTAACCCTTTGGGACCCAATTTTTTTTGTGTTGTTACGATCTCGACTTTAATTATTTCTTTGTACTGGTAACCATAGAAGGTTTTTAAAGTGTACCAAATCAAATTTTTACATAAAAAAACAAAAAAATAGTGGGGTATATATGTCCCAATGGGAATATTGGTCTGGATTATTATGTCCCGTAGGGTATATTGGGAGATTACGGCCACAAATAAATGAACACTTTATTTCAGAAAGATTTACAAAAATATGCATAAAAAATACTTCCATGAAACTTAATATGTGTGATATAATGTGAAACAATGTTTATACAAACCACATCGCACAATGTGCAGATGGTTGTGGTTCTTCTTTCTTTACCCATTCTTGAGCAACCAACACAACGCCGTCTCTTAGCAGTTTCAATCGGCATGTGCTTTCCTACATTTTTATTTCGTGATCTCTTTGAAGGTCTACCTACACTTCTTTTTTTAAGTTTTACTTGTGTAGTGGTTTTACCTTTAGAAATGAGATCTGATAGCTCAAACAAAGTTTCTAAAAGGGGTGTTTTCTTGCGTGTTCGATGTAAATCATTATATATTACCCAACTATTTACCATTGACACCATAAGCAATCGGGAGAAAACTTTTTACCACCATTTACAGGATCGTCTATCCATTTTATACACTCCACTAATTTGGTCAGCCAGGTCCACACCACCCATAATTTCGTTGTATAAAGCAACAGCAGCAGGACAAGGAACGTCCACTTTGGTTCCACTTTTATTTTTCATTTGAATAGTAGTACAACTACTCTTATGACAGTTACTCAACAAGGATACTTGTTTGGTATCTTACCATTTTGTGGCTAGGGTTTGGAACTCATTTGTTAGAAATACAGAGTCTCCTTGTTCATTTTGTTTTTTATAGAAAACTCCTTAAGCATGTTCCGTCTATTTGTAATGGCTGTATCAACTACAGCGAATTTAATAGTGTCCACTAGACATACAGACCACCTAGAGTTTCATCAGCTTGTTCAACTTCCTTTCCTGAGTAAACGTTAAAATCATATGTGTATCCTGTCTTAGAATCAATCACACCTGCACCATAGTTTTATACCTCTTTTCACTGGTTTAGAGGTACGTATTGTTTTAGGGACGACCGACCTTTGAACTTCATCATACTCTTGTCGATTGATTGTCTAGTACTGTCGGTTCGATACTTCTGAAATGTGAACTTGAAACAGGAGAGCAGTTCTTCTACATAATATATCTTACTGCAATCTTCGGGTTTCTTTGGGCCATTGAAGTAAAGTTTGGAGAGAATGAATAAGCATCTGTTTTTTGATATTGCAGTACTTATCGTTTTATTTCCGACAGATGGATGCGAAGACCAATAATGTCTCAGTTTAGGCACTCTGTTGTAGCACATTATTAGAGTACAACCAATAGTAATCATTACTTCACCAGCATCAGTAAGCGGTTCAGACTTTCCTTCCTTGCGATTATATTTTAATTCTCTCGTTTGTACAATCCGCAATAAAAATAAATAAACTTCGAGGGAATACCTTCAAGAAAATTTCTAGACGTGACGAATTCATATTAATTGATTCATCAACTACACAAGGTATTTCAGGAGGAACAGCAAATCTGGGTTTATGATCAGCTGCGACTGATGTCCTTTGATAACTCATAGGGATTTCTCTTTTCTTTTTATTGATAATGGCTTTCTTACCTTCAATTAAATATTCTCCATCTGGCAAGCAAGTATTCTCGTCTTCTTCATTTTCGGGAGAATCAAATGAAGACGTATTTGATCCATCTGATGAGCAAGTGTGTTCTTCATTGTCAGGACAATCATCTGATGCCATATACGACTCATCAGAAGAATGATCACTGTCGTGGAATGGGTCTTCTTCGTCGTCTTCTGAAGATATATTAGATTCTGCATCTATATGAAGATATGTCGCTTATATTATCAGCCAGTTCTTGCAATTCCTTTTGAGTAAGCTTTCTTTTTCTTGACATGCTGAAAAAAACCAATGGGATATAAAAGGCCCGTCCAACAAACCCAGTGGGACACATAAATCCCATGTGATTTCTGATGTAAGTTTGCCAATTTACAAAAGTAAACGAATCTCAGATTAACGTGTAGAATAATTACATACACTAAACAACAAACTTACCTTACGATTGTGTCGAAAACAAGTTGTTTTAACTGTAAAAACGTCGAAAAGTAAGAACCACGTGTTGACTGCGTCGTACTTACGAACGAACTGAGCCATCCAACGTTACCAATATCACTTTAGTAGAGAGACATGTGCAGTGTAGTCGATAAACTCCGATATCGAAGAATATAATGTAAAACGGGACTTATTTGGAACATCAGGCAAACTGAAACTGTCGCTGGGATCTATAAGTCCCACTGGGTCCCAAAGGGTTAAGTAAGTCTTTATTCGTTTTAGTGTTGAAAAACTACGTTCTACAGAGGCACTATTAGCTGGAATGGTCAGTACTAACTCACATAATTTCACTACCTTCGAATATGCTTTGTCCAAAGAAGTTGTTTTTAAAAACGTTAGTAACTCACTGACAATATTTTTTGTGCCGATGTCCTGTTTCGTATAAAGCTCTTAGCTCAGAACGTAATGAAATCAAATCAAAATATTGTCCATAAAGACGTACCAAAGATTTTATTTGTTTTTCGGGAAAATGTGTTTTTTTTTTAAGAGAGAGAAAATATGTAGTGTTTTCGAAACTAATAGAAATAATCGAACATTTTAGGTTATATAGTAACGAATTGGACATCACTTCAGATTTCCACGCAATATACAGGCAAGAACCGAACAAACTTAACGACGAAGAGTTATTAAAGTTGTTGTCGGATTATAGAAAGCCTGACAAATTTAACAAATTCACTGTGATTCCCGGATCGTTGGAAATTAAACTGTCTCCTGTCAATGATCTACCACCAAGTGAGTAATAGTAAACTTAGTGTTGATACATACTGAATTTTATTTTTGTTAGATACTTTATCTACCTCTCTATCACCTCTGAAACCGTTTCCACTACCTCCAACATCTGAACCAACCATAGAATTGGCCGAACTGGAAGGATTATCCGACAAGGACATTAATCCGTACACGACGTTTCTCAATCACCTCTACGTGTACCCATTAAATCTTAATTTTGACACTCAGAAGACATTTGCCAGAGCTAGAAACATTGCTTGCGTCGTAGAGTTGCGTGATTCGGACAATGAAGAAGCCAAAGGTTTGCCGGTAAGTCAGTTAGTTTTATAATCGTTGTTTATGACTTTCTTTCCTTTATTTCATTATCTGTGAATATAGTTACTGAAGTTTTGATGAGAAATCTAATACGATGGTTTTATAATTGATCTGCATCGATTCTCTTAAACCAAATATATTTTTTAGTGCATATACGGCCGCCCTGGCCAACCTCTGCTGGTCTCGCAAACGTCTTGCGCCGTTCTACATCACAACACGTTCCCGACGTGGTACGAAGAGGTCAAGATAAGGCTTCCGACAAATATTCTTTATTCTCATCATTTATTGTTTACATTTTACCACATTTCCTGTGATATTACCAAAAAGCGAGAAAATGGAATAGAAAATTGTGTAGGTTATGCCTGGTTACCATTGCTACAGAAAGGACGGTTGAATGTTGAGACGCAAGTGATTCCTGTGGCTTCACATCTGTTGCCGGGTTATTTGTCGATACATCCTTTCGGACTAGGAAAAGGGGTAAGTTTTTTTTATCTTACCAATAGGCTCTGGTCCTTATTTGATATTTTAAGTACATAAAGTAATAAAAATAATTGTAACAAATTTTTTTTTTAGAATGCTGGCCCTGAAATCAATTGGATAGACAGCCAGAAACCCATATTTTCGATTGGATTTAACTTAGTATCAACGATCAACACCAAAGATCAACATTTATACAACCTATTCAACCACGCCGAACGGTTATTAGATCCTAAACCGACATCGGTACCATCAGAAATTGAAACGTGCAAGATTCTAAAGGCTCTTCACGCCATTCATCTAACGACGCTAATAACTTTCCTGCCGACTCTTTTCAACCAACTTTTTACGTTACTAGTGATGACCAACAGCGAAGAAATAGGAATCAACATTATACGTGTCTTGATAAATCTAGTAACAATGATATACGATGTGAGGAGAAAAGAAATACTGCAGGCTTATGTAAAGTACGTGTTCGTATCTCCGGAGAGCACAAAACAAACCACAGTACACGAGGAGATGTGCCGACACCTTCCGGTGATTCTACATCCCAATAATACAGACTTTTTGGTGGTAAACAAGTTTATGCATCATTCAGACTTCTTTTTCGAAATCATCAACAAGAGTATCGCCCAACATCTGCTAAATTCTGGAAGAATAAAGGTAAATAATAACAATAAATGCTACAGAATTGTATATTTGAACTTGACACATATTTTTTGTAGGTTAGTCTTTCATTTTGTTCTTTGAATTTTATATTTTAAAACTATCGTGTAACTTCTTTAAAAATAACGTAATGTCTTGAAAAAATCGTTGATAATCTTGGTAAGATCGTGTATCGTATTTAAAAGACGCGTAATATTTTGAAGGAATTATCTAATATCTCAAAAGGATCGTGTAATATCGTGTCTCCTTCCAGTAATGCGTGATACCTCGAAACTATCGTGTAATATATTGAAAAATAATGTAATGTCTTAAAAGCGTCGGTTATGATATTGGTAAGATAGTATATTACATTTATATTACAAAAAGATTGGGCCTTCTTCCAATAATGCGTAATATCGCGGAACTATCGTTTAATATATTAAAAAAGTCGCTTATAATCTTCGTAATATCGTGTACTATATTTAAATGACGTGTAGTATCTTGAATAAATCATTTAATATGTCAAAAAGATCGTGTAATATCGTGTTTTCTTCTAATAATGAGTGATATCTCGGAACTATCATGTAAGATGTTGAAAAATAATGTAATATCTTGAAAGAGTGGGTTATAATATTGGTAAGATCGTGTATTATTTTTATTTATCAAAAATATCGTGTCTTCTTCCAATAACGTGTTGGTACCTGGAAACTATCGTGTAATATCTTAAAAAATAATTGTAATGTCTTGAGAAAGTTGCTTATCGTCTTCTTAAGATCGTGTATTATATTTAAAAGACCTATAATATCTTGAATGAATCATCTAATGTCTCAAAAAGGCCATACAATATCGTGTCTTCTTCCAATAATGCGTGATATCTGGGAACTACCATGTAATATATTGAAACATAAAGTAATGTCTTGAAAAAGTCGCTTAGGATCTTCGTAAGATCATGTATTATACTTGTAAAGGTCGTGTAATATCGTGTGTTTTCTATAACCCGTGATATCTTGGAACTATCGTGCAATTTATTTCGAAAAATGATGCCATTTTCTGAAAAATCATTAATTATCTTGGCATATTGTGTAATATATTGAAAAACTGTTTAGGGATTAGTATAAATAATGTAATAACGTTAAAAATATAATATATTGTATTTTTATTAAAACGTGATATCTTGGCAGTATCGTGTAATATCTTAAAAAAGTCGTTCATTATCTTGGTAATTCGTGTAATGTCTTGAAATGTGCAATATTTTGAAAAAATATGTAATGTCTTGAAAACATCGTTTATGATCTTGGTAGTATCGTGTAATATCTTGAAACATCGTGTAATGTTTTCAAAATTGATTGAAAAGTCGTTTTTTATTTTGATATATTGTGTAATATCTTAACAACTTGTGGAGCATCTTGTAAAAATAATGTAATACCGTGAAAGGAATCATTTAGTATAGTTTATTTCTATTAAGGCGTGATAACTTGAAAATACTGTGTAATATTATTCGAAAAAATTGAACAGTCTTGGAACTTTTGTTTAATATTTTGAATATTAATTTCTTGAATAAGCCATTTATTATTACCTTGGTAAGATTGTTTAATGTCATAAAAAATCGTGTAATATCTTGAAAAGATCGTGCAATATCGTTTTTTTTTTCAATAATGTGTAATATCTTGCATTAGCCCGGAATTATGATGTTTTTATTATATTTCTATTGAACTTATAAGGAATATTCGAATTGAAGACATACTATTCTTCGTCTATTTTAGATGCATCGATACGAAAGATTTTCAACGGAGTTTATAGAGAGAGTGGAACATTTAATGCAGGTCTTGATACCTTACGTGCTTAATAAATACAAGGAAATGCCACTGGAAACAAAAGAATTAAACAAAAATATGGCTTTTTTCTTAAAGGTAAGCAGAAATATTATTAAATGTAAAATATTGGGTTATATAACTGCTGGATTTTCCCCCGCGTCGCTGACTATACATTCGACAATGTATTGTCAGTGCACGATGTAGTAGTCAACAGAAATTTGTGTTAACGAGAACAGGTGTAGGCTTCGAGCTCCAACTGACAGCTGGCTCGGGTCGCAGGTTGAATGTTCTGATTGTTCCACATGGGCGTAGAAAAGGGATATCGAAAAAATAATACAATATAATAAAAAATAATGTACGGTTTTTGCAGTAAAAGCAGTTTATTTAATTAAGTGATCTTTTACCTTTCAGAAATGTCTTTCGATGGTGGACCGAGGATTTATTTTCAGAGTAATTAAATCTTATATCGACAGATTCAATCCGGGAGATTCCAGGATCCTTCAAGAGTATAAATTTAATTTCCTGGAAATAATATGCAACCACGAACATTATGTCTCGTTGAACTTGCCAATACAATACAACAGACTGAGCGTGAGGAATAGATCGCCAGATAACACCCAAGAATTCATCTTATCCGAAGAATTTTGCAAACACCACTTCATTGTTGGATTGTTGCTACAAGAAGTGAAGACGTCATTGAACGAGGTGACGCACGTTCGAAAAATTGCTCTCAGTACGCTCAAGAATCTTATAGCTAAACACGAACTCGATGACCGGTATAAAAACAAACGACAGATGAGTCGAATAGCTCTACTTTACCTTCCATGGTTGACGATAGTGTTGGAAAACTTGAGCAGACTAGATGTAAAAGAAGAAACGAACGACGAAGAAAGCGGCAGTATAATGAACAGAATGTCTTCGAGTAGTTCGTTTTTGTTCGGCAAAAGCTCTGCCAGCGAGTACACTCCAAGGAGCCACAGGTTTACTCTTCAAATCGACAAAGACAGTCCGATGCACATCAGAAATTCAGCTTTCTTCGAAGCCATAGCTGGCCAATGTAAGTTTTGTTTATTTCTCTATTAATTTGTTTATTTTTGTAATCAAAATTGTATGTTTCACATATAATATCCTAAATTAAGTGTTTTTTCGTCCTAAATCGTATTTTTTCAATAACGCATGATATCTTGGAATTACCGTGTTATATCTTGAAAAGTAATGTAATGTTTTGAAAAGTCGTTTCCTATCTTTAAAAAGTTTTTTAATTGATTGAAAAACCGTGTATTTGCAATAAAGTCTTGGACGTATCGTGTAATAATTTAAAAAATAATGTAATCATTTGAAAGAATCGTTTATTTTCTAGATATTATCGTTTATCATATCACATCTTGAAAAAATCTTGTAATAGTGTATATGTAACGATAACAAGCAATAACGAATGTAAAATTAAAAAACATGATGTAATGTCTTAAAGAAGTGGTTTATTATATTGGTAAAATCCTGTAATGTAATAAAATCGCGTAATGTCTTGTATAAACCATCATCATCATCAATGGTGCTACAGCCCTATGAAAGAGCCTCGACCTTCCCAAGTCTATTACGCCAGGCAGTCCTATCCATTGCCAACCGTTGCCAGTTTGCTGCGCCTATCTTTCTATCTTTCTTGTATAAACCATATAATATCTTAAAAAGGTTGTGCAATATCGTGTTTTGTCGTATATAATCGCGTAATATCTTGCAACTATCGTGTAATGTTTTGAAAAAGTTTCAAAAAGTTGTTCAATTTCTTGATAGGTTCGTGTGATGTATTAAAATTGTGCAATGTTTTGTATAAATCGTGTAATATCTTAAAAAGATCATGTAATACGTATATAATCGCGCGAAGATGGTCTAATGCGTGTAATATTTTGTATAAATCGTGTAATATCGTGTATATAATCGCGTGATATCTTGAAACTATCGTGTATTGTTTTGAAAAAGGATATAATGTATGAAAAAGTGGTTTGTTTTCTTGATAAGTTCGTGTAGTGTATTAAAATTGTGCAACGTTTCGTATAAACCGTGTAATATCTTAAGAAGATCGTGTAATATCGTGTTTTGCCATATATAATCGTGTGATATCTAGGAACTATCGTGTTTTGTTTTTAAAAAGGATGTAACGTTTGAAAAAGTGGTTTATTTTCTTGATAAGTTTGTGTAATGTATTAAAATTGTGTAATGTTCTGTCTAAATCGTGTAATATAAAAATATCGTGTATATAATCGCGTGATTTCTTGAAACTATCGTGCAATGTTTTGAAAACGGATGTAATGTTTAAAAAAAAGCTGTTTATTTTCTTGGTAAGATCGTCTATTGCGTGTAATATTTCTTATAAATCGGGTAATATATTTAAAAATATCGTGATGTAACGTTTGATAAAGTGATTTATTTTCTTGATAAATTCGTGTAATGTATTAAAATTATGTAATGTTTTGTATAAACCCTGTAATATATTAAAAAGAACGTGTAATATTGTGTTTTGCTGTATACAATCGTATGATATCTTTGAACTATCGTGTAATGTTTTGAAAAAAGATCTGGCGCTTGAAATGGTGGTTTATTTTCATGATAAGATCGTGTAACGGCTTGAATAATCTTGCAATAACGTATCATTCCAATAAAGAGTGATCTCTAAAATATTTTGTGTGTATGTTTGTGCCTGGTTTGACAGTTTTTGTAATTATTTAGTGACTTATGTAACTAATTTGTTTTTTAGCTTTAGTAAACGGTAATTCGATGAGCATAGACTCCGACATATCAGCGGTATCAGAAGACGCCCAGTCGTTTATTTCCCAAGACACAACCATCACTAAAAACGAAAATCTCAGGAACGGAGACACGAAAAGCCACACCAGAACTACCTCGCACATTTTAAGATACGACAAACTACAACCGCAAGAAGTGAAAGACGTACTTCTAATATTCGTCTTCGTTGTCAAGTACATCAACGAAGATCAGCTGATTTTATGGTGGGGCAACTATACTGATGCCGACGTCGTGAACTTTTTCACCGTTATGGAATTGTGTTTGTATTGTTACCGTTATCAGGGAAAGAGAAATATCAACGTTGTCAAACTTAATGCTTCCGAAGTTGTTAAACCAAAAGCGAAAAAGGCTCATACGCTACCGGCGAGGATGAATCCTTCAGAAATCAATCATGAAACCACCGGAACGTTGCTTATACATACTCCCAGAGAAAATTTATTGGAATCTGGTGAGTGAATTTAACATATTTTACTTTCGGTGGAACTTTTTATCAAAATTTGATCCTTATATTTACAAATATAGAGTTATCACAACATATTCAATTTTTCCGGAATTTATTTTAGTCCAGAAACTTTTTTAGCACTATTTAGTGAGTAAAGTATCATATCTTACTTTTGGTGGAATATTATTTACCAAAATTCAGTTCTTATACTTACAAATACAGTTAATCACAAAATATTTAATCGTTCGTTAATTATGTATCAGTAAATTTACTGATTTAGCCCCTATAGTAAGTAAATGTAACATATTTTACTCTTGGTGGAATATTTTGTACCAACATACTGCCCTTATACTTACAAACACAAGTTAATCACACAATATTCAATTGTTCCGGAGTTTTTTTAGTTCAGAAGCCCCCTTAGCTCTATTTAGTGAATAAATGTACTTCTTTAACCTCCTTTAGTGAGTAAATGTAACTTATCTTACTTTTGGTGAAATGTTTTTTACCAAAATTCAGTCCTTATACTTACAAATACAGTTAATCACAAAATATTTATTCGTTCGTTAATTATGTTAGTCCCAGGGCTCCTTTAGCCTAGATTTAGTGAGTAAATGACTGATTTAGTCATTATAGTAAGTAAATGTAACATATTTTACTTTTGGTGGAATATTTTGTACCAAAATTCTGCCCTTATACTTACAAATACAGTTATCCACACAATATTCAATTGTTTAGGAATTTTTTAGTTCAGAAGCCCACTTAGCAAAATTCAGTCCTTATACTTACAAATACAGTTAGTTAATAACAAAATATTCAATTGTTCGCGAATTATTTTAGTCCCAGAGCTTCTTTTGTCTAGATTTAATTAGTAATTGTACTAATTTTAGCACCTATTAGTAAGTAAATGTAACATGTTTTACTTTTGGTGGAATATTTTACCAAAACTCAGTCCTTATGCTTGCAAATCACAAAATATTCAACTGTTCAGTCATTTATTTTATTCTCGTAGCTCCCTTAGCCCTTTTTAGTGAGTCAATGTATTTCGTTAGCCGTCTTTGGTGAGTAAATATAACATAATTTACTTTTGGTGGAATATTTTTTGTCAAAATTCGGTCCTTATAGTGACAAATGCAGTTAATCACAAATATCCTGATATTTCTTTTAGTCCAAGTCGATTTTTATACAATCTTCAATGATTTAAACAAGTAATTAAATTATTTTGTAGAAGATGAGGTACAACGACAACAGCAAGCAATTTTGGAGCAACACCTGTCAGGAGAAATTGGTATGATTACTTTAGACTGTATGGGACTGTACTGTATGCATTTTCGGAAAAAGTTGTTAGCAGATTGCGAAAATGAGGTGCTGAAGAAGATTTTTAATATATATCTGACGTTTATTCAAATCGGACAGAGCGAAAATTTGTTAAAACATGTTTTTGCTGCTCTAAGGGCGTTTATTAACAACTTTTCTTTTGTGTTATTTCAAGGTATGTATTTATTTTTTATAAAAAATAGCAGAAATTAATTTTAAACTTTGTTTTTATATACTTTTTTATTTGTGTTTACTATTCCCCATTCATCTCCTTTGGTCTTATAATTAAATGTTTATTATTTTTTTAGTTACTCATTCAATATACTATCAAAGGAATCTTGAAACTTCTCAATCTTTAACATAAGTCAAACTTTTTGTTGCTCGCATTCATATCGTACATATTTCCATTTCATAAAATGTATAATAGGCCAATCAAGTTAGGTTTTTACTCATCACAAGTGTATAGACGGGTTTGACAGTTGAAATAAGTAGTATGAGATATTACAAAAAGACTCTCATCTAGGGATTCATGAATTTTTTAGTGGAAATATTTTTAAATAAACAATTAAAACGTCAATATCATTATTTTGCTCATAACTTATAAACTTGTCTATTTAGAGATTTGACGTCCACAGACAAGTTGTTGAGAAAAAAAAATACACAAAATGAGATATACTAAATTAAAATCGGTTAATAAACAAAAAAGTTATTGCATAATAACCAAGCAAAACCACTGTTTTTGATTATTGTTAATTACTCTTTTATTAATCAATAAAATTTATTTAAATGTATCTGAACTTAAAGACCTTATCGTGTACGAGGTGTGTGCGAAAGATAGGCTAGATCCGTCGAATAGTTTTTGCACAATTTAATTTGTTTATAAGATTTTTTGAAAAACGCACAAATTTCTAAGGCCGGTCCAGATAATTTGACTGAATGGATCTTAATAATCCGGGGCTTATTTTCTTTGTTGAGACATATATTAATATCCTATGGAAAAAAAAGTTAAAAAAAATTACGTTTATGTACACAAAATGATTTAACAATAAATAGCACTTTTTAAGCTTATAAACATTTACAATAACTCCGTACTATTTAGTTTAAATTAAATGGCAATAAAATATTCGGAAAGCTGGTTAAAAAACACAACTTAAAAAAAAAGAAAAAGGTCCTGCGACCATTAGGAGCCGAGTTAGTCCTTTTTTTTTTTAAATCACTGTTACGTCAATTAACAACATTAAGGGCTGAAATTAACCAATCTTTTAGAAGAAAAGTCAAAGTTTTTAACAAAATATTTAGCAAACAAAATAATTAAAAATTGATTAAACAGGAGTGTTGTAAACCAAGAGTACTTTGCGTTCCGACTCAAATGGAAGCAGTGGGGATTGCCGATTGCACTCAAGCCGCGCTCTAAAAAAGTCGAGCGTCGAGCGCACGTCGAAAGCAGATGCTGTTAGGCCGTTAAGTTATAACTCATTGTCCTGCGACTATACAACCGGTTTGTTGTATTGAAATATTTAGTGTTTTGTTTTATTTAATAATTGTTACAAATAGTTAATGGTAAGTAAAATTCATCTGAGTATTAAAAAAAACTACGTGTTGTGATATATATTAATATAAACACATGGTTGTACCACGTTGTCTGAATAATATACGGTTAACTTTGAATATAATATTATTTTACTATTATAATGTACTAATATTTATGAAATTATTAATGAAGAAGAAAACGATACAACAGATGAACAAGAGATAATTGATGAAATGTATTTAACTGGGTTTGATGAGAATAGCGACAATGAAAATGAAATGATTTATGAAAGTTATAATACAAGTGAAATTGAAGATGAAAGTGAAGATGAATGTTTACATAGTAGTAGCAGTGACGATATAGAAATTAAGCGTAGAAAATTACAGTAAATTAAATTATTTTAAAAAATCACTACACAAAATTTCAACTTCTGTAATAACATAAAATTAATTTATTATTTCATTAATAAATTTTTAGTAAACATTATTCAAAATGTTCATTTACTTATAACATTTATTTAATATAATCATATTTGAAATAAATAAATAGAAAAATAACAATAAAAAGACGACTTAAGAAAAAGTTTGTACATTCCGTAGTCATTAGCTGCTTTGTTTTGAATAATTTTGCAATGAAAGTACGTTAAATGTTATTATTTTAACGTTGTACCCCAGTATAAAAAAAAAGAACAAATTTGGTCCACTAGAACCCGAGATATGTCATTTTTTCCAAGCACTCTATTTTGAAACCGTGCGCTCGACTTTTTTGGAGAGCGCGGTTTGTGTGCAATCGGCAATCCCCACTCCTTCCATTCTAGTCGGAACGCAAAGTACTCTTCGTTTACAACACTCCTGTTTAAACAATTTTCAATTATTTTTTTTGCTAAACATTTTGTGAATAACTTTGACTTTTCTTCTAAAATATTGGTTAATTTCAGCCCTTAATGTTGTTAATTGACGTAACAGTGATTTTTTAAAAAAAAAGGACTAACTCGGCTCCTAATGGTCGCAGGACCTTTTTTTTTTTAAAGTTGTTGTTTTTTAAACCCGCCTTCCGAATATTTTATTGCCATTTAATTTAAACTAAATAGTACGGAGTTATTGTAAATGTTTATAAACTTAAAAAGTGCTATTTATTAATAAATCATTTTGTGTACATAAACGTATTTTTTTTTTAATTTTTTTTCCACAGGATATTAATATATGTCTCATCGAAGAAAATAAGCCCGGATTATTAAGATCCATTCAGTCAAATTATCTGGACCGGCCTTAGAAATTTGTGCATTTTTCAAAAAATCTTATAAACAAATTAAATTGTGCAAAAACTATTTGACGGATCTAGCCTATCTTTCGCACACACTTCGAACACGATGAGATCTTTAAGTTTAGATACATTTAAATAAATTTTATTGATTACTAAAAGAGTTATTAACAATAATCAAAATCAGCCGTTTTGCTTGGTTATTATGCAATAACTTTTTTGTTTATTAACCGATTTTAATTTAGTATATCTCATTTTGTGTATTTTTTCTTTCTCAACAACTCGTCTGTGGACGTCAAATCTCTAAATAGACAAGTTTATAAGTTATGAGCAAAATAATGATATTGACGTCTTAATTGTTTATTTAAAAATAGTTCCACTAAAAAATTCATGAATCCCTAGATGAGAGTCTTTTTGTAATATCTCATACTATCCATTTCAACTGTCAAACCCGTCTATACACTTGTGTCGAAAAAACGCTTATTTTCTACTAACTTGACTCGTCTATAATAATGTTTTAGGAAACGCTGTCCTCTGCGGTAGACTCTGTTACGAACTACTTAAATGTTGCAATAGTCGATTGGCTTCTATACGACAGGAATCTTGTGCCATACTATATTTACTAATGAGAAGCAATTTCGAATTTACCGGTCGAAAAGGTCTCACCCGCGTACATCTTCAAGTAATTATCTCAGTTTCTCAGATGTTGGGTAATATCGTGGGATTGAATAATGCTAGGTTTCAAGAAAGTCTCTCATTGATCAATAGCTACGCCTCGAGTGATAAAGCCATGAAAGGAACAGGTAAGTTGATACGTCATTCTAATGCTCAGTTTTGTTATGTTTATAAATCTGCAAAAATTACTATCCAAACACAAAGATACACACGTGAAACAACTTTGAATTCACGCCATTTAAAAAATCCTAGATTCTTGTTAAATTTGTACGATCAGGCAACGCTGCACAGTAAGATTGAACGGGTGACGACAATGTTGTAGCAAAATACTATAGGTTTCACATTTAGTTAATTAGAAATTAATCAGTATCATTTTTTAGGGTTTCCCGTTGAAGTAAAGGATCTAACAAAACGCGTAAGGACTGTTTTGATGGCGACTGTTCAAATGAGAGAACACCATCAAGACCCCGAAATGCTTGTCGATTTACAGTATAGTTTAGCCAGTTCGTACGCTTCAACGCCCGAACTAAGGCATACTTGGTTAGAAACCATGACCAGACATCACATTAGAGATGGAAATTACTCGGAGGTACTTGTATAAACAGTTTTTTAAGAGTTTTAGCAAAAGACTTTTTACTTAATCTGGCTCGAAGGACCAAACGTTTGTTCTATAATACTTTTGTTCGTGTTTGTTTTGTATATTTACGATTTTATTATTTTTAGGCCGCCTGTTGTCAATTACACATAGCTGCCTTAATGGCGGAGTACCTAAAGCTGAAGAAGATACAGAATTGGGGTGCCGAAAAGTTCGAACTCATATCTTCAAACATCCCAAAGGACGAAAAAGGTTTAAAGCTCGATTCCGGTGTACAAGACGTCCAATATACTGAGTTTATTCTTCAAGAACAGCTCGAACGGTGTGCGGAATACTTGGATAAAGCTGAGCGATACGAAGTTCTTGGCGAATTGTACAGACTTATAATTCCAATTCACGAGAAAAAACGAGACTACGATATGCTCAGAAAATGTTACAGTTCTTTAGCGGATAATTACGAAAAGATTATTGAAACTAATAAAAGCGGTAGAAGACTTTTGGGTCGGTATTACCGAGTAGGGTTTTACGGACAAGCTTATTTCGAAGATGAAAACTGCACTGAATATATCTACAAAGAACCGAAAGTTACGGCGCTTAGTGAGATTTCCGAAAGATTATATAAGAAATATTGTGATAAATTTGGGTCGGATGCTGTGAAAATGATTCAAGATTCAACTCCGGTATGTATATACAATTGTTTTTCAAATTGCATGACAAATATATTTTACTTTTGGTGGAATATTTTTTACCAAAATCTGTTACAAATACAGTAAACCACAAAATATTTAATTGTTCGGGAATTAATTTTGGTCCCAGATATTCTTAAGTCTTCTTTTAGGGCTCATTTAATGAGTAAATGTAACATATTGCTGGAATATTAACTACCAAAATTCGGCCCTTATATTTACAAATACAGTAAATCTCAAAATATTCAATTGCTCAGGAATTTATTTTAGTCTGGGAGTTTCTTAGACCTCTGTAGTGAGCGAATATACTCCATTAGGCTTATTTAGTAAGTAAATGTAACATATTTTATTTTTCATCATCATTAGTGGCATTATAGCTCGTTATGAGCCAAAGAATTCTTCAGAACAATCTTCCATTCGCCCCTGTCTCTGGCAACTCTTCTCCATGCTTTAACTCCGATGGATTTTAGATCATCCTCTATGTTATCTTGATACCTAAGTTTTGATCTTCCTCTGGCTCGTCTTCCCACTGGTCCTCTTCAGTCGAAAAATTTTTCTAATCGTTGTATCTTCATCTCGCTTAATTACGTGTCCTATCCATCGAAGGCGTGCTAATTTAATACATATTACAACGTCAGTTTGTAAAATGTATTAAAACATATATACATAAACATATAATAAACCCTGTTCTTGGACTCCTCCATATATTTTCCAAGATGAAGTGGCATTTGAAATTCCACCATAGCCTGTAGAAGTTTTTGTCTGTTCACTGAGTCGAATGCGAATTTGAAATCAACGAATATGTGGTGGGTGTCGACTCCGAACTCAAGCGTTTTCTCAAGGATCTGCCTGACTGTGAAGATTTGATCCGTTTTTGATTTATTGGGTCGGAAACGGCACTGGTAGTTGCCAACTATTTGTTCAGCATAGGGGATCAATCTTCTGTACAATACGTTGGACAACACTTGATATTCCACGTTAAGTAGGGTGATGCCTCTATAATTATGACACACCATCATATCTCCCTTTTTATGAAGAGGGCGCATTACACCTAATTTCCAGTCTGAGGGCGTTTCCTTCCGTTGCCTTTCCGTTACTAATTTATGCATGTGTTTAAAAAGGATGTCACCACCATTTTTAAAGAATTCGGCAGAAAGATTGTCCAAACAAGGGGCTTTGTTATTTTTCAGTTTTGAAATGGCTTCTCTAACTTCTTCTTCGGTAAGGAGCGGCTCTTGAGCATTTTCATCCATTTCAAGCAAAGTAATTTTTATTTGGTCTTCTTCACGACTGTCACTAAGCAGTTCTTCAAAATGATTCGCACACCTGTTAAGTATCTGTTCTGACACTAATTATGGAACCATCTCTGTCTTTATATGCTGTTATTCTGGGCTTGAATTCTTTTCTCCAGCTGTTTATCTTCTGGTAGAATTTTCGCGAATCTTTTCTATTGTGGTGGTGGTCATATTTTATTTTTGGTGGAATATTTATGACCATAGTTTGGTCCTTATGTTTATAAATACAGTTAATCACAAAATGTTCAAATGTTCGTGAATTTATTTTAGTCTCGGACCTCCCTTAGCACCATTTAGTGAGTAAATGTTCTCAATTAGGGTCTTTTAGTGAAGAAATGTAACGTATTTTACTTTTTGTGGAATGTTAGTTACCAAAATTCGCCCCTTATAATACTTACAAATAAACTTAATCACAAAATATTCAATTGTTCGGGAATTTGTTTTAGTCTAGGAGCTCCCTTATGCCTCTGTACTGAGTAAATGTGCTCCATTAGGCTCATTTATTCCGTAAACGTAAGATATTTTTCTTTTGGTGGAATATTTTTTATCAAAATTCAGTTTTATATTCACAAAATATTTCATCGTTCGGTAATTTATTTTGGTCTGGGAGCTCTCTTAGCCCTCTGTAGTGAGTAAGTGTACTCTATTAGGCTCTTTTAATAAGTAAATGTAACATATTTTTCTTTCGGTGGAATACTTTTTATGAAAATTCAGTTCTTATATTTACAAATACACTTATTCACAAAATACTTCATTGTTCGGAAATTTATTTTAGTCTCGGTACTTCCTTAGTCCTCTTTAGTGAGTAAATGTACTCCGTTAGCAGTCTTTGGTGAGTAAATGTAACATATTTTACTTTTGGTGGAATATGTATTACCAAAATTTCGTCCTTATACAGTTAATCGCACAATTATGAATTGTTCGGGAATTAATTTTAGTCTCAGAGCTCGAAAACAAGTAATTTGATAACTGAAAATTAATACATTGTACATCTTTAACATTTGATTCGTTTTAGGTTTGTAAAGCTGAGCTGGATCCGAAAATAGCGTATGTACAAGTAACACACGTCATTCCGTACTTCGAAAAACACGAACTCGAAGAAAGGCAGACGGAATTCGAGCACAACCATGACATTAACTGTTTTATGTTCGAAACTCCTTTTACGAAAGAAGGAAAAGCTAGAGGAAATCCGGAAGAGCAATGGAAAAGAAGAACTATATTAACAAGTAAGTCGTATTAAGTTCGTAGAGATTTTAATGTAGTCGTCAATAAGTTTATTAAAGAATTTCACACTTCTCAACAATTGAAGTGGATATTATGAAAATGTGTATTTTATTTTTTGTTCATAAGGTCAAATAGAAAAATGGGGTGATATAAATAAAGATTTATTTTAACTTCGTACTGTCATACAGATGAACCAAAAGAAATAAATTCTTTATTAAGAAAATAAACAAAAATTGTAAAATTAACAACCTAAAATTTCTATTCCTGCTCAATTTCTAATTTCCCGAAAAGAAAAATTATTAAAGTGTGGGTCCACCTCTGTGTCGCCTTAGTGCTCTAACTCTATTTGAAAGACCTCTTATTAAATTATTGATGAACTGCTGCGGTATACGTTCCCAAATCGCGCGTAATTTATTGACTAATTGATCTAAGGACTGGGGAGGTTGAAGGATCCTGTTTTGTTGCCTAAACATTTCGGCCCAAACATGTTCAATGCAATTCATATCAGGTGAACATGGTGGCCACTTCATTCTTGTAATACCATGAGCTTCTATACACTCGTTGACAATTTTCGCACGGTGAGGGCGAGCATTATCATCAATCAGAACAAATCGTTCGCTTATTGCACCAAAAAATGGAACTACTATTGCTACTATGACTCTGTCTCGATATTATGTAGCAGTCATTGTCTCATTAATTAAGACGACTAAGTCTATGCGACCGTCAAAACATATGCATCCCCACACGCAAACGGATCCACCTCTCTCAGATTGGGATTCTGGGACTCTCAGATTTTCATTGTGGCGCTGTCCTCTTTCCCTCCACACCAATATTCAGCCATCATTCGTATACAAACGAAATCTGGACTCGTCAGTAAAGAGACAATTCCTCCAATTTTCGAAATTCCACTGATAGTGTCCCATCGCCCAGCGATATCTGCATGCACGCTGCTCCGTAGTTAGTCGTGGATGGGTAGCGCGCCGTCTAGCCCTTAAATTGGATGCATGTAACCGTCTTCTGACAGTTTGACTCGAAATCGCTCGTCCAGTACCATCCCTGAAGATACTGTTAATTCTGGAAGCCGTGAATGCTGGGTTTTTTCTTGGCGTCAGAACTACAAAACGGTATTGCCGACGAGTTGTAGATCGTTCTCTTCCTCCTCCATGCCTGTATGTTGCAGATCCAGTTGCTACATACCGATTTCATGCACGACTAATAACACTTTGCGACATATTTAGCCTCATAGCAACCTCTTGTTGAGTTATGCCTTGTTGGATCCAACGAACTAATTGCTCGAGCTGCACTAGTTCTAAACGTCTTTGCGGCATAATGATTTTGTGATAAATAGATTTCTGGACTTATTAACAACTGGTAAAGCCAATACAAGCACTTTTATACGAATGATATATTCATGTTTGGAACAACATTTCTCTTTTTGAACGAGATAAGGGCCGATAAGAATAGGGAGAAAAAAACCACATCCAAAAAAATTGGCAATAAAGATAGCATATAGAGTATGGTACAGGCAATTATTTTAAAAATAGTTTTATATGTTAATTTTAGGAATTTTAAAATTATCCACTTCAATTGTTGAGTAGTGTATTATCAATCATATATGGCCAACTGATTCTCCAGTCTGGACTATTATACGTGCCAATATTGCTAACCTGTCATGTAAGGCCTACTTTTATGTTTAATTTAATAGTGGGTCTTTAAAATATTATTTTTAAGTCTGGTGGTCACAAAATTGTATTACTAGTTTAATATATGAACGAGCAAAAATGTCAATTATTTTCTTTTATTTATGAGATACTTTTGATTAAACTTTAATATGATTCTTGATAGTTTGTTTAGTTTTTGTCATTTGTCAGTTAACTGGAAAGTTTACCTACCGAAAGTTTGTTAATATGGAAATGCCACACGTAAAAGAAGGTACAGGACCGTAACTAGAGTTTTGACTCACCACTTAAAATTGTATAACATCTTCTCGTTGAATATTGAAGTATATGTTTGATATGTAAGAGTGTAAAATATTTGAGTATTATTTACGTCTCTTTTTTTTTAGTTATAGATTGCTATATTCAGTCAAAAGTTTATAGTGTTTTAAGAGAGTTATTTTCTTCATAGATTTTTCTGAGATATTTGTTCTTTTTGTTGATAACTTGCAATATACGACATATTTGTTTGTAGCATCCTACTCATTTCCATATGTAAAGAAGAGAATCGTAGTCAAAGGCGTTCGACAAACAGAACTGACTCCAATCGAAGTTGCCATAGACGAGATGCAGAGCCGCGTGGCCGAATTAGAAGACGTGGTTTTCACTCAACCTACAGATCCTAAAAAACTACAATTACGATTGCAAGGCAGCGTTTGTGTCCAAGTAAACGCCGGCCCTTTGGCTTATGCTAGCGTTTTCCTCGATCCTGCTCTCTCGAATATGTATCCCGAAGAAAAAGTCGAGGAATTAAAAGATATATTTAGGTAAGAAATTATTAAAATGGTATAAAAAGTAATTAGTGAAAAAATTATTGCTGGAAGGCATTAAGAGACAGATCGTTTTTGCAGCAACATTTATTTTTCAGGGAATTTCTAAAAATATGCTATTCGGCACTTCAAATAAACAGCAAATTAATAAAATCGGAACAAATCGAGTACCAAGAAGTGCTGCGCCAAAACTACAAAAAGCTATGTTCCTCCTTGTCGACTTTGTTCGGAGAAACACTTTGGCCGCACGACGAAATGGGGAGCTTCAAGAGGAATAGCATGGCATTGTTCAGCGCCATAACGGGTACATCACACAATTCGAGTACAGCCTGAAAGTATTAAAACATAAGTGATCATACATGCCTTCGAAATATCGGATAGGTCCTTTATAGTGTTGCTTAAAAATGATTTTTCTAGTTCTTTTACTTACTTTCAAATATTCGTGAACAGCTTGGGTAGTAAAAGATTAATTTTGTGCTTTAAAATAAATTTTCTCTGTAAAAATTATTCCCAAAACGGAAATTATGAAAAGTTTCACATTTCTAATATTATTTCCGCTCCGAAGATGGTAAATTAAAAAAAAAATCCTTCGCGGATTTTTTAAACTGTTCACAATATAAAAACAAAGTTTTACACTCCTCTGGTTTAAAATTATAAATTCTATAACAAATATACCAAGCTGGCTCTAATCATGCAACACCGTCATTTTTAAGTTGCACCTGAAAGCAGACCTATCCATAATAATTTTTACTCGAATTATACAAATACTCTCTTTTGATAATTTATGACAGTCTATAAGATGGTATTATTTATTTATGCTTTATATATTTTATAATTTTTAAATATGTACAAAAGTACAAAACGTTTTGAGATACTTGGAAGTATCGTACTTTATTTCTTACCTCAGAGTTTTATAAACCCACATTTTGCTCTATCCCTTGATGAAAGTGTCAATATTTTTATCTATTTTTGGTAGACTCCTTGTTTTCCCGCGCACAATCAAATTGTAGACTGAAAGGTTGTTATCCTAAAGTATAAAGCTAGTTTTCGTTGGTTTCAAATAGACATATGACAGAATTAATTTAATAATTTCCACTGAGTTGTGTATAACTATTTGTTGCAATGCTTCCTTGGACTCTTACATCCTCTAGTATATTCAGGAACACTATATGGGTATTAGGTTCTGAACTGTGGTAAAATTTCCTCCCAGCAGCATTATTATATAGCTCCGCCTATCGACGTAATTATCAAAGACAGTTCTACATATAAATATAACAGCTTTGGGAATGTTCTATTGATGGGTCATTCTGTACTGTGTTGGACATCATTCAATTTTGACATTGTCATTTCTGCGCAGCGTTGCCGTATTGTCAGGATAGCAAAGAATGTAGGGAATTAAAATATGTAGGGAATGTAGGGAATTAATAAAAATGTAAGCTTATTACAGTTAATAATTTATCTCGTACACGAAGAAAAATTGCCAAGTCAAAAAATAATGAGTTTAATTGTGCAAATGGAAGTTAGAAACATTCACTCCTCTTTACAGAGTTGTCAAGTATTTAATTTTCCATCATGCTACTTGTCATATCAGTAGCAGTATCATTTATCAGTTTTCTCAACAATTATCACGTTACTAAGCCACTGCGTAGGATCATCAACCTTTGCTATGATTCCTCGCTTTTCAAGATCACTTAGTTGATTATTAAGTTTAGGCTTTATTGTAAGTGGGACTCTATGAGGTGGCCTAGCCACTGACACTGCATTCTCTTTAAGCTTTAAACTACATTTTTTCTGAAATTTACCTAAACCTGAAAAAACATCCTTATTCATTTCTACAAATGTTTCTTTAGAATGCAGTGTAATGTTATCAATTTTATCAAAAACCACCATATGTCTCAAGTATGACCTTAGTTTCTTATGATTAATTAATTTTACAAACTTTTTCAACAAAAACCTTGGGTAAAATGTTAACCTGTACAACTTTATTATTTATTTTTATTCTTAATTTCATTAACAGTGATTGATGAAATCATGATATTGTCTACTTCATTATTTTCACTTTCTTTCACTTCTTCCACTCTTACTAACCTATCATGATAACACACTTAATCAAAATGCCCATATTTACTACACTTTCTACAATATTTTCCATATGCTGGACACCTCTTTGCTCCATGGACACACCCACAGTTTCTACAGTTAAATTCACCTCTAGAAAAACGTGCTCCCCTGACTGTTTGGACTGAATTATGCCCCTGCTTGACTTTACTTACAATTGATTCAATTTTCACCTTCTCTAAGTTGTTCCGAACTTCTTTTATTTGAGCTTGAGACACTTCATGCATTTTACATATTTCAATAGCTTTAGTCAGATCTAAATCAATTGTTTTTAACATGCTTTGTTGTGCATTCTTACTATTGGTGCCTAATACTATTCTATCTCTTACCATTGAAAATGGTAACTCCAAACTCACAATTTCTTACTTTATTTTTTAAATCTGTTAAAAAATGGTCAAAAGGCTCTCCTTCTTCTTGAATGCGCTTATAAAACAAATATCTTTCATAAACCACGTTTTTTTATGGGTGACATAAGACTCAAATGCTTCTAGTACATCTCCTAGCTTTCCTTGTTAGACCTCTGTTAATTTCTAACTGTGATAAATCTCAATGCTTTCTTCTCCAATTAAATTGAGTAAAATTGCTACCTTAACTTCATCACGTTTACCACTTTTTCCTGATGCCCTCAGATATATTTCAAAACTTTGCTTAAATCGTTTAAAATTTTCATTCAAATAATAATGGATTTAGTAACCTGGCTTCCATGATTTTCGTTTAATTTCCACTAGACTGCGCCAAGTAATAATATTTCATTGTGTTCAATACATTTATTTAAACATACTTTTTAACAAAATGTCTGCAAGCATCAACAATATCCAAAATCCCATGTTCTAACAATGATTTCTCTGACAAGTAGTGACAATTGACAACGAGTCCCCATCCATTGTGCCTAGAGCCCCGTGACCGTAATCATAACCTACTGCTACTGATATGATACTCCTCTAAGCAGACGAATTAATGATAGTAATAAATCCGGACAATACTATTAAAAGTTTTCCCGCGGTTTAGCGAACCAATACCGACCCATGACGTTAGAATATTTAAAGCAAAATGTATGATTGTAAATCAATTACTTAGTTCAATTTGTATATTGTTATGCACAGTTATGTATATACATAATTCTTTTGTACTTTTTCTTTTCTATACAAACAATTAATTATTTATTTTTATTTTTAAATCAGCCGTACGTTTGTTTGGTCGAAAAATTTAGAAATATTTAACTCTTGAGCGAATGAGCGAGTTTTTCTATTTAAAATAAATAAAAAACATTTCGAATCAATGAATCTCAATGAAATTTTGATAAGAATAGATAATTTTCATGTTAAATAATATTCTCAATATTATTTTTGTTTATTTTAAATTAATATTTTGAATAACACAATACTGTAGCAAAAAGGGTAAATTACAGAGTATGTTTATCTTGTTAAATTGTGATAATTAGTAAACATTTTTTATTTAAAGATGATAAAGCTAGATCTAATAATTTAATTAGCACTTCTAGGACAAAAAATAAAAATAATTAATGTCAAGGTTATGTGCCAATTATATTTGGTCCCTTGTAGTTTAAATCCAAAATATTTAGCAGTAAAAGCAATTAGCACTACATAAAGCACTGTGAGTTGCCTATATTTGGCGCGACTCAGTAATGTACGTCAAATGAATAACCTAAAAGATTAAATTTAAGAGATCCTAATATATTTTTTAATTAAATATCCTTAGTTGCTCTTAGAACTAAGATATTTCGTATAAAACTTGGCTTTCATCTAAATCCAAGTTGATATTTTGGTGTTTTCTTAATGACACCGGTTTTTGATATAATAATAAAAAACAAATTGATTGCAGTCATAGAATATTAGATTTAAGTTATTTAATATTATCCAAGTACAAATTCCCCAATTCGCTCAAGAGTTACTTATTATGAGAGCGGAAAATTATCGTTACACGAATAACATAACCAACAGACTGTTGTACAGTTGTAAGTTGTTTTTCTATCCAGCACAAGATAATTAATTAATAATTTTAGTACAAGAATTACTCTACACTTAGGATAAGAAATAATTAAATGTTTTATACGGTATAATGTAGGTGTGTAGCCTTTGTACTTTTTCAAATTTAGTAAAGTCTTCCCCTGTATTCATTTCAGCTTATTCACACCGTATACAGTGTGGAGCGAAAGTGGAAGGTGCTCGAAATTGCAAAACTTTTTAGATTTCAGATTTTGTGGTTAGTATTAGTCCAACTGTGCTATAAAAAGGCAACTATTTATATATTTTACAAAATTTATCGTTATTACCCGCATTACAGTATTCTTAACCTTTTTAAACAACCATACCGTATTATAACACATTAAAAAGGATAAATGCTCGTTCTTTCTAAGTTTTCTTGTACTATTTAACGAATATTCTCAGGAACAAAACGTATTTTAAATTTACCTTTAACATGAGAAGTCTGAAATCTATAACTTTTATAATTTTCTCACCAACAACATTTTGCACCACACTGTATGTTTATTTGTTTAATTGATGTTGTTTTTATGTGGATATTATGTAATATTGTTTATCGATTTTACCAAAAAAAACTGTATTAATGTTATCTTATTGATTATTTTATGACAAAAACAATCTTTTATAAAAGAAAAAAATATTTTTTAAGTTTACTTTTGTAATTATTGTATATTTTTATAGTTTAGTTTTTCTCGTTTTTCTAATTCAATGAACACATTGTTGCATGATATGCCAAAATAAAAGATTACGAAAACATTTGTTAGATACTTCAGGCGCGATAATTTAAATATGTTTTTTGTGTGTGTGGAGAGAGGTGTGGAATATATTTCTTATGTTTTTCGGTTTTAGTTTTGTAATTGAGTTTTGTCAGTATTTTTTT